AAGTCTATTTGGTTTTCGGTGTTTACATCTGGTGAAATCCATGTCATCTTGTGTATATCCTTGTGTTTGAAAACGCTGCCACTAATCACGAAATCATTGAAGGCGCAGAAGTCTGAGAAGAGTTCACCATTGTCGTTCATTTCACCGAGGGCCTATCGACCCATGGTGAGTTCTCTTCCTGTGTTGTCTCCTCCCAGCTTCTCATTTATGTCGCCTATCAGTCAGTGATCTACTCCGGTCACCCAGAAGATAGCCACACGCACACCGAGGGCGTGGCTATCATGATGTCACCAACGGCAACGAAAGCCCTGATACAATGGGAGGCGATTTCGTCCAGGATAATGACCGCCAGATTCAACTCCAAAGGAAGGAAAGTGTCAATCATACAATGTTATGCACCCACAAACAACGCAGACCTCGAAAAGAAAGAAGAATTCTACAGGCAACTACAGGCAACAATGGACAATACTCCAGCTGGCGACATGAAAATACTAATGGGAGACATGAACGCCAAACTGGGACCAGACAATACAGGAAGGGAACTCATCATGGGTAGAGAAGCTCTAGGAGAAATGAATGAAAACGGAGAACTCTTCGCCGACTTCTGCGCCTTCAACGAACTGGTGATTGGTGGCAGTGTATACAAGCACAAAGATATCCACAAGGCTACATGGGTGTCACCAGACGGGCAAACCAAAAACCAAATCGACTTCATCTCAATCTCAAGGAAGTGGAGGCGCAGCCTACTGGACACAAAAGCAAGAAGAGGAGCAGACGTTGGCTCAGACCACTATCTCGTACAAGGGACAATCCAAATCAAATTAAAAGCTTTCAGGGAATCAGGAGCTGCAGATAGACCACAAGCCAAGTTCAACACTCAAAAGCTGAAGGACCAGGCTACAAAGGACATCTTCATTGCAAGCATAAAGGACAAAGCCGAGACACAAATCAACACCAGCGAAGAGGTCGGCGTCGAAAAGCACTGGAACAACTTGAAAACGGTGTGGAGCCAAACCTGCATAGAAATTCTAGGCAGAAAGAAGAGACAGGACAAACAGTGGCTCACTACGGACACTTGGAAACTAATAGAAGAGAGAAGGACAGTGAAGCAAAAGATTATCCAGTGCGCTGACGAGCAACAAAAACAGGAGCTGAATGCAAGCTACAATACACTGAACAAAAGAGTGAAGAAGAGTGCCAGGGAAGACAAAAGAAAATATTATGAAACCATGGCAAACGAAGCAGAACAAGCTGCAGGCAAAGGAGACCTCGCCACACTCTACCAAACAACTAGGAACCTTTCGGGCAAACGTTCGACACAGATTAAGCCAATAAAGGACGACAATGGAAAGTCAATCACCAAAGAGGTGGAACAGAGAAAGCACTGGGTTGAACACTTCAAAAGACTTCTAAATCGTCCGCCACCTACAACACGTCCAGCAATACCAACAACGGAAGCAGAACTACCAGTGAACACTGACCCCCCGACGAAATCAGAAGTCCTGAATGCAATCAAGATGCTTAAAGCTGGGAAAACACCGGGACCAGATGGAATCCCAGCAGAAGCTTTGAAAATAGACCCAGAGACAACAGCGGACTTGATGACACCACTACTGGAGAAGGTGTGGAAAGAGGGCAAAGTACCCGAGGATTGGAAGAAAGAATACTTATTCAAACTTCCAAAGAAAGGAGACTTAAGTCAATGTAAAAACTGGCGTGGAATTATGCTTCTGTCCATTCCAAGCAAGATACTAAGTCGCATCATCCTGGAGAGAATCAAACAAGCCCTAGATGAAAAACTTCGTCCGGAACAGGCTGGATTCAGGAGAAACAAATCATGTATTGATCAAATCGCCACTCTACGGATCATCATTGAACAAAGCTTGGAATGGCAGTCACCTCTCTATCTCAACTTCATCGACTTTGAAAAGGCCTTCGACAGCGTCGATCGAGAGGTCATTTGGAAACTACTTCGCTACTACGGGGTCCCATCGACAATTATACATCTCATCCAACAGTTATACGACAATGCTGCATGCCAAGTAATCCACAACGGGAAACTTACGGAGGCCTTCGAAGTGAGGACGGGAGTGAGGCAAGGCTGTCTACTATCACCAATGATCTTCCTGATTGCAATTGATTGGATAATGCGACAGACAACGGCAACCAACGAGGGAACAGGCATAAAATGGACTGACACAAAAGACTTGGAGGATCTGGATTTCGCCGATGATATATGTCTGATTTCCCATAAACTGGAAGATATGCAAGTGAAAAGCAACAAGTTGGCAGAAGAAGCATCAAAGATAGGACTTCACGTGAACATAGATAAAACAGAGATGATGAAGATTCCTAGCCAACATCAACAGCAGCAACAACAACAGACAACAATCAGCATAAGTGGGAAGAACCTGAGAGAAACAACCTCCTTCACCTACCTGGGAAGCATCGTCTCAACTACAGGCGGAACTGACGAGGACATCAAAGCCAGAATTGGAAAAGCAAGACAAGCTTTCATTACTCTCAAATCTGTGTGGAGGTCAACAGCAATCAGCATCAAAAATAAGATCCGGATTTTCAACTGCAATGTGAAGTCAGTGCTACTATAAGGATCAGAGACTTGGCGAGTGATAAAGAGCATCTCAAACAAACTTCAAACCTTCATTAACAGCTGTCTCCGCTCAATACTCAAGATCAGATGGCCAGAAAAGATCAGCAACAGGGATCTCTGGGAGCGAACCAATCACGAACCGATTGTGCAACAAATAGGCAGGAAGAAATGGAGATGGACTGGCCTTACTCTGAGGAAACCATCAAGTGACATCACTAGACAAGCCCTCGAGTGGAACCCGAAAGGGAGGCGGCGAGTTGGTCGTCAATGCAAGGGTGACTTGGAGGAGGTCATGCGAGGAAGAGATGAAAGCATGTGGACAGACCTGGAGCGGGGTGAAAACGTTGTCAGAAAACAGAAGGCAATGGAGGTGCGCAGCTGAAGCCCTATGTTCCTCTAGGAACTAAAGGATACAATAATAATAATAATCAGGATTTCGATATCGCCATTTGAGAGGTTGTCCATTATTGTTTGTAGTTGTCTGTAGAACGCCTCCTTCTTCTCTTGTTCTGTGACGTTTGTAGGCGCATAACATTGAATGACTGTAACTTTCCTTCCTTTTGATTTGAACCTGGCTGTCATTATCCTGGAGGAGATTGGTTTCCACTGCATGAGAGCTTTGGCTGCTGTTGGTGACATCATGATGGCCACTCCATCGGTGTGCTCGTGGTTGTCCTCTAGGTGGCCGGAGTAGATTACTGTCTCTCCAGTTGGTAGTTGGCACCTTCCAGTTCCGTTCCATCTGCTTTCGCAGATTCCCAAAACTTCTGTTCTCTACCTTCTCATTTCAGCGGCTATCTGGGCAGCCTTTCCAGTTTCCTACATTGTACGAACATTCCAGGTACCCATCCTTACTTTTGCTTTCATCTAAAGAAGACACATCGGCTGACTGGCTTCCCAAAGTCTTTCACCAGCCTGCGTCATTTCACTTCCCCGATTCCAGTGAAAAACAAGGCTATTGCTTATGTTTTTAGAAATTTTAATATATTTATTCGTTGAAGTTTCTGTAGCGATTTGGTTGTTTTACAGGGGTGGAGTTGCTAGCACCACGCCCCAACCCTCCCTCTTTATCCGGGCTTGGGACCGGCTAGAAAACTAGGAAGCTAGTAGCCTAGCAAGCTAGTAATCTGGCGAGGTTATATATATATATATATATATATATATATATATAATGAGGCACATCTGTTGTGTGAAGGCTAGTGATACTGTAACAAGAGAAGACAAGAGACTTGGTGATGGAATGCTAATTTTTCAGTTTGATATACACATATAAAACATTTTGTATACCATAGATGAAAATCATCATTTTCACAGATCTCCTGCATCGTGCCTTTCGTAGTATGCTTCTTTGTCTTCTTATAGTGTCTCGCATGATTTGAAATGAGTGGTGCCACTTGATTTCGATTGGTTGGTTATCTTCATCACATCCGTCTTCTCCATTTTCATTTGAAGTTCTGCCTTTGCTGCATCTTCAGCCATTTTCCTGGTTTTCGGCAGAAGGTCTACTAATAAATCTTCCAGGAAATTCGGACCTTCTACAGCCTTCTTATCGGTTCGACGCATTCTCGTCTTCTCGCTCCCCTGAACAGTGTTCCTATAATCCAGTCCACTGCAGTGAAGAATATCATCGGTGATGGCAGGTAGCCGTTTCTTACGCTTGTCCTCACTTCAGACGCTCCGCTGAGTTTTCCACCGTTAATCATATGGTACGTGGTATTTTCATGTAGCTGCTGAATGAGGATGGTGAAGATTCAGGAGAGATTCCGTAGTTTTGAAATAGCTTATGAGTGATTTTGTGGTGAACATTGTGGAAGGCGGTTTCATAGTCGATAAAGCTGAGTTGGAGATTTGACTGCCATTCTATACTCTTTTTGATCATGATGCGTAGCGACGCCATTTGATTCGCACATGATTCACTTTTCTTGAGTTCACTTCGTTCTCCGTATTTGTAAAACTCCGGTTGGTAGGTTAAAGCGGAAGAAGACAAGGGACTTGGTAACAGCATGACATACACATATTAGGAGATTAGGTGTACCTTACATTAAAATCGTCATTTTCAGAGATCTTCGGTTTTGTGCTACTTCTTATCTTCGTGTTGTGTTTCTTTGTTATCTTCTCGTGTCCCACATGTTTGGCCTCATTACCGCTTCATTTCCTCTTTTTGACGTCAGTTCTATCTCTCTGCTATTTGATATTTTTGTCAGTTTTTGTCAATAAGCTTCTCTGCATATACTATTGATAAATATTATCAGTAACACATACCACAATACAAACTGGTTGCACAATCTTTTACCTCGTGACTCACAATGGTTCAAAGTCGGAGGCAATAATGCATGATCCATAGCTCCACTATTTTATATATACCATTGTAATCACAGATTAGATACTTTTAAACAAGGAGAAGTAGTAGTGAAGAAAAGCAACCACTTACCTCAGATGCAAGAACATTTACATTCACATACGTTTGACTACTTTGAGTTCCATAATAAAGAGTGAAACGAACTGAAACATACGAAGTAGCCATTGTATTCACATTCATTGGTATAAGAATGTTGATTGCTGACTTTTCAGCTTTCGATTTAGTCGGGTTTTCATTATCTGTAATACAAATATTTGTATATATATATAAAAGCTATTTTGGAGCAATATGTGATTTGTTGCCAATTCAGCTACATATTTCGGAATACCGACTGGTCAGGAAAGGGTTTCATTTTTGTTATAGTTAATCTGTTCACCGCTGATATTTTACAACACGCTGATGAATGAGCTGTGTTCAAAAGGCTGTTAGGTGACGGATAGGTACCATATTACAATTACCATATTACAAACGATGGGTGTAGAGTCTGAGTAGCAGATGGAACACCAATACTGACTTGGAATGCACGTACATCTAGCCGATAGGTACTAAGTAGGACGAAATGCGCATACCGAATTCAACTGCAGGTCGTTACCAATCAGAGGGGAACTATACTATTCTCAAAGGCTGGATGGGTCTCAGGTTGCTTTCGAAATCTGTCTTTTTCAAAAGCCGGTTAAAGTTTCTTTAAGTGAACCATTTTTTATAACTTTAAAATATTTTTAGATCTCTCTCTCAAAGATTTCCCCTGCTTTGTTAATTTATTGATAACTTCTACTACACTATTTTTGCAGTGTTTTTCTAAGTCTATTTCTTAACTTCATTAAAAGTGCAGGTTTTATTTCACCTTTGACCATGGATTAATGTCATTTAGAGAACCATTGCAAACGGAAGAGTACTTAACAGCTGCTTCATGCCGATTTCGGACTCATGGGGAGCACTTACCCACAGGTGTTGAAACCCAGAACCCTCCAGTTGCGAGTCAAGCTCGTTTGCTATTCAGCTCCTGGGACGTGATTCAGTGGTTAACGCATAAATTGATGCATAAGGCGCAAATGGCTCCAGGCAAAGTCATTGGCGTCATATCCAACCGTGTGGACTCCACTAGTCTCGACTCCGCACTAGAACACCAGTCAAATTTGTCCAGAAGCCGTCACTAGCAGGCATCAGAATAGTTCTCAAGAGCTAATTTGTAGGGATTCGATTTGTTAGGCGTTTGATCACGGATTGATATCAGTTAGAATTCCTGACACACTGAATTGCTCACCAGTGATTAAAGGGTAAATAGGTCCACCTCGTGACCATAAGGTCCTGAGTTCGAAACTCGGTGGGTGTATGCTGTTAAGCAGCAAAAAATCTGAACGAAATAGCTGTCCATTACGCCCTTGTTTTCAATGGTTATCTCACTTATATCAATCCATGATTAAGTTCCAAAAAATCAGATCCCTACAAACAAACTCCTTCAATGTTTGTCTCAGACCTCCTTTTATTTCCAAATCTGATTACTTCTTAGGGTATAACAGTCACTTAATCGATGATTACTTTAAAAATAAAATGCCTGCACCAGTCTTATCAAATAGAGGCGCAAACTTAATTCATAGTACAAATCTAATATCAAATAAATCCTTCTCTATATTCCCACATAAGTAAGAATAAGTTTAATGCATCTACAGTCCTAATATATTTAATAAGAAAAAATCTGAAACCCTACATGTATGATTTTTGATAAAATTGGCATTCGTATGGCATTTAAACTTACACGCTCACTCAGAGACATATCCTGTGGGCTAGACGATCCTATTGATCCAAAGAGACAAAATATTGTGATATACATTATACCTTGTATTTACTCTCAGGTCAACTATATGTGTCAGACTGGTAGACTGAGGGTAATCGGATTATTGGAGTAGAGGAATTCAGGTAAATGAAGAATGCTTGACCTCAAAAAGGTGAAGAGCTCTGAGAAAAACCCATAAACTGTAACGCATGCAATAACAAGCAATTACAAAATAGGATAGGACAGAGTTGCAGTTCTATAAGTATTATGGCTAGGCGGAAGGTTAATTTGAACAGTGATTACTTCTCCATTGAATGACGCGACGCTGATAACAGATATAAAATATAATACTGCCAATAAAATCGAAGGATGTGAAATAACTGAATTCAGACTACTGGATTCGCGGGCATTTTGGAATTATTTCATTTGCTAAAATTTTCGTCGCCAACCACCATTAGTTAGAGGGAACATTTGAAATCACTGGATAGCTGTTTCGTCCTATCTTGGGACTCAACAGAAGTGCATACCCATTACCTTGGTTCATGACAAATATCTTACAGCTGAAAATAGTGGAATTATACAAACAAAGTTTGAAAGTTATGTGAAGCTGACTACACGATTATAGGCAGCAATAAATTGTGCTAAAAACGGCGTCAGTATCTCTGTGAACGTTTATCAGGTAAATTTAGTCTACTGCAGTTCCAAAGTTGTGCTAAAATATTCTTTAGATTCATTCTGAGATACTTTGAAAATGTGGTTGTTTGTATATACATATAAAGTAAGCTAAAGCACCAATAGCTCTGAAAAAGGAATGGCTCTTACAACTTCAGTTCTCTGATGATAACACCGATGAAGTAACAGCACAACGTTTCGATGTTGGCATAGGGATAAAATTCATAGTCTCCGAAGTGTAATATTTCTGCTTAACCATCTCCATTTTAAGTTCGGGAGTGAAAGATGAACCACCTCATTTTGGTATATATGGCCAAGTTAAACAAACTTCCACTGGAGTGCAACCGCACCAGTGACTTTGAAACGCTCACTAAGCAAGTTGGTGGAATCTGGCAGATGATGTTGACATCATCGATAAAATATGCTAATTGAAGTGTTGCGTTATCAAATGGAATATCTGGCAAGTTATAGATTAGTTTCGGGAAAGATTAGGTTACTCCTTAAGCCAAGGATAAGTTAGAGTTAGGTTAACCTAATAAAGGCGACGGTAGGTTTGGTTCGAGTTAGATTACAGTTAGTTTAGGGATATTTTCACGTTGGGGTTACCTTTAGGAAGGATAAGGGTTATTGTTAGGGTTAGAAGACCTAAATAATTCCATGCATGGAATGTGGTTAAATTTAAGTCAATACAAAAACTGGCGCGGAATTATGCTCCTGTCCAACCCAAGCAAAATACTAAGCCGCATCATCCTGGAGAGAATCAAACAAGCCCTGAATGAAAAACATTGATCAGAACAGGTTGGATTCAGGAGAAACAAGTCATGTATTGATCAAATCGCCACACTACTGATCATCATTGCACAAAGCTTGGAATGGTAGTCATCTATGTACCTCAACTTCATCGAATTTGAAAAGGCCTTCGACAGCGTCGATCAAGAGTTGATTTGGCAACTACTTCGCTACTACGGGTTGGCGCGGACAATTATACATATCATCCATCAGTTGTATTATAATGCTGCATGCCAAGTAATCCAAAACAGGAAACCTATGGAATCCTTCAAAGTGAAGACAAGAGTAAGACAAGGCTGGCTGCCTGCTATCTCCAATGATTTTCCTGATTGCAGTAGGTCGGATAATGCGACAGACAGCGGGCAACGAGGAAACAGGGATAAAATGGACTCACACAAACACAAACTTGGAGGATCCGGATTTCGCTGGTGATATATGTCTGATTTCTCACTAAATGCATGATAAACAAGTGAAAAGCAACAAGTTGGCAGAAGAACCATCAAAGATGAGACTTCAATTCAGATGAACATAGATAAAACAGAGGTGATGAAGATTCCTGGCCAACACCAACAGCAGCAACAACATATAACGATCAGCTTAAATGGGTGGAACCTGAAAGAAACAACCTCCTCTACCTACATGGGAAGCAGAGTTTCAACTACAGGCGGAACTGACCAGGATATCAAAGCAACGATCGGGAAAGCAAGACAAGCTTTCATTACTCTTAAGTCTGTGTGGAGGTCGACAACACTCAGCATGAAAATAAGATCAGGATTCTCGACCTAATATGAAGTCAGTGCTACTCACTATACGAATCAGAGACTTGGCGCGTAACGAGCACTATGAACAGACTACAGACCGTCATCAATAACAGCTGTCTTCGCTAAATACTCAAGGTGGCCACAAAAGATCATCAGCAGGAATCTCTGGCAATGAGCGAACCAACTCAGCAGGAACCGATTGTGAAACAAATAGGCAGGAAGTAATGGAGATGGATTGGCCATACTCTGAGGAAACCATCAAGCGACGTCACTAGACAAGCCATCGCTCGAGTGGAACCCTAAAGGGAAGTGTCTGGTTGGTCGTCAAATTGTGACTTGGAGGAGGTCATGTGAAGAGGAGACGAAAGCATGTGGGCAGACGTGGAGCCAGGTGGAAACTTTAGCAGAGAACCGAACGCAATGGAGACGCGTGGGTGAAGCCGTATGTTCCTCTAGGAATTAAAGGAAATAATAATAAATATGTAGAAGCGGAAGAGAAATTTACGGAAAAGAATATTTTTTGCTCGAACTTTCTTTTATCTTATAAATGTCTGAATGGGGATATTTGTTATTTAGATTTGTCAAAGCTTTTAACATAAGAAAACGCACCTGTTTTTCTCACAGATTTTTCTTAAAATACCGAATTACATAAAACGATGAACCACGCATTCTAAGATTATTCAGTGCTGCAGACAGTGACCATACTAGCATAAAAACAATGGATCTTACCCAATCAATTAATACAAAAGGCTGGCGACAACTCACTTTCAAAATACAGAGAACCCATGTTTATTTCTAGATTAGTAGCAGTAAAAGTTGTTTGAAATCCAGATGTGCAAACAGCACTACCAGTATCAAGGATTTTCGGTTGCATTATGGCTAAAATATCCAGAAGTTGAAAAAGGTAAATCTGAATTCTGTATGTTTGCCTTGCTCTGGAGTCTATAACTAGACTGACAGAGAGTAAGTTGAATCCACCACGGATAACACTTGTATTACTGCGTGAAGTTGCCAAACTTTCAAGTGTCCAATACGGAACTTGACTACTTGTCTAAAAGGATAAATAAAATGGTAAATACATCTTTAAGGACTTGTGATAAAGGTGACCAAGATGAAAATAACAAACCAGAAGTGGAGATGGGCTCTCTATTGAGATCCACGTTAGTAGGTTTCTTTATAAGTAAATTAGACAATGGTCTTTTGAACACCCTTATCAAAAAATTTTTATTTTAATGGCCAGTGTATGGATGTTACCTTCATCCTTTGTGGAGATGATTTGGACATGAATGTAGTAATACGTCAATTCAGTTAAGTACATTAAGCCTTCGAATTCACATGTGAAGAAAAATCCAGACTAAAGTAGACTTCTTAGACATCCTACTGGGACAGAAGACCAGAGGGTAGCATAAACAGAAATTTGCTTAAGAAAAGTACCTGGATCTGTTGATTTACACGTCTTCATGGATTTATTTCCCTCCCTTTAAAAGGAAATTTGTCAAAGGCCCTCAGCAATAGGATCAGAGATATTTGCTCAGCAGACGCGAATAAAGACAAACGTAAGTTTGTATACAGCACGTTAAATGAAAGCAGCTATCTGGAAAAGCTTATCACTAAACACATGACGAAGAAAGCAGAAAAAGATTCTTCTGCATCCATTAAGAAGAAGCCTTGGCATATATAACTACAGTTCAAAGAGTATATACCAAGTGAAATAATAGACAACAAGGTGAAAAAATCCATGGAAGGTATGTAATAAACATAGGAAATCTGCGGCTCAAAGTTTGCACACAACTGGATGTGATTTTGAAATCGAAAGTGACCAGGCTAGGAAACTTCAGTTGTATCTATCATTTCCTTTGTTTCTGTGTAGCCAGTTATCTTAGCCAATGCTCTAGGAGCTTAATTCTTCGTGCTTGGGAACAACTACCAGTGTGGCTAAATAAAGGCGTTGTTAAAACTATCAGTAGTTCGAGATTAGACCACCTCGCCTAAACAGGATACAAAAGTAACTATCACTGAGGAGACTTTTTCCACTATCTTTCGGGTATCGAATAAGTTATGAAATGCTCCTACATACCAAATACTTCAAACAGAAGCGAGAGGTTATTTCTGTTCATTTAAATCAACCAGAGCTTCACGCATGCGAATGAAACAGGTCCGGCCACTATTGTTACCCTATATTGTTGTCGAACTTATATAAATTCATAAATTCTGTATTATTTCTCTAATTTATCTGATGTTCAGTTTAATGTTACAAAAATGCATATTATCCCTCTGTTACTCAAGCTTCTGAGATGTAATCTATCGATACTATTTATTCGCTACAAGTAAAAGCATTAATGATGTTAGTGGCTATAATCCTTTAACTATTACTGATATGTAACTGGAAAACCTAATGATAAATGCATCGAAAAGGATATTATATGATCCCTAATCAGTATTTGTAATGTGACTAAGATAAAACGAAAACCTGGAATTCACTGTTATGAATTCAGAAAGAACTAATTTTAATTTAGATAACGAGTCGATTTCAATAAGATAACCACTGGACACCATCAAGGAGTACTGGATAGCCGTTTCACTCTTGTTTGAGACTCACCATCAGTGTGCATCCATCACCCCAACCTCAGGGATCAAACTCAAGACCTTCATGTTACAGGGTGAAATTGTATACCATTAAGCCACCGGTACACATTCCTATGGCTTGCAAATTCTTACTACTGCAGGTGACTACGACGCTCAACTTCGTAGACCTCAGTTAATAAGACTTGTCCTTTTGGGTTTCAAGCAAGTTCATCCTGTAATCAGTCAATAACAAGCGCTGGGTTGAAATCAGTCAAACCTCTTCAAAGTAACACTTAAGAAGGGACTTCGCTATGGATGTCTTTGTCATCTGTGTTCTACAAATAACTGAACTTGTAAGTACACGAATGCATCAATTACCGGGAGAATTCTGGGGATTTTAGTTAATATCATTTCATATTATTCTCAGTTTAATTAATCCAATCAGAATTTAGAAAGTGTTTTACAAATAACAAACTTGATTGATAATGTTTCGTTTCTGTTCAGTAAGGTAATTAGTTGTATGTCATTCTTAAATTGTTCGTGTAAAGCAAGTGAACACGTCCGTTTTACAAACTGATCGTCTTTGCTGGTACGACTGACGCCAAATAAATTCATGACGTTGGTCTGCCAGGTAGTCATGCGGATGATTCCCCACAGGTCCTATTTCCAGTTCCTAAATGGCAGTGGAGTCAGCAAAGCAACAATACGGATGTGAACAGAATAATATAATGCAGTCATAATTCTTTGGATTGTTGAGGACTATTGACTATCTGAAACACTTTTGATACTCAAATACTCTTATAATAACGTTATGGATCGCATTCCTGATTCCTAGCGAATTTATTTCCCTATTCCTTATGCTATTCAACTTAATTCCTCATTTATTAGAACTACTTTAATTCAGAAATCTTCATCAGGAGAACTTATGACTTTGACTGAATTATGAGAGAACAAGCAGAATAGTACGACCTCGCATGATTCTGTAGATTTTCTTCAATCGCGTACATCCTGAACAAAATTAATTGTAAGTTACGAGACTTCTGAACGTACTTTTTACAATGACCTAAGTTATAGATAGAAAGTGTAGTCAATATAAGTCCAAAAGTGATGTAAGTTGACGAATTATTCAGTGTTATAATACAAAGTAATTATAGCATAATTAAACACGAAGAGGTAGACTTCGGATTTCTCTATGAAACAGGGGCGGACTAGAGAGAAATTACAGGGTAGAACAACGGAGTGAATTTTTACTTATTATGATAGAGAATTCAGGAGGGTGTGGCTGAAAAGTAAAATGAAATTAAAAAATAGATGGGACTATTAAGTGGATTTGGAAACTCAGTAGTGAGTTCAACTCAGTAAGTGATAATCAAAATGGAATTTAATTGGGGCGGGTATCATGCAACAGAAAAAAAGCCCATAGGACACGAACAGAAAAATTGCGGTCACCCGCATAGTGAGAGATTTGTCTTTCTGTCTTTCTGTTTACAGAGGTTGGAGTAGCAGTGGCTTTTCTGAATCAAAGCAACCATAGTCTCCTTTGTGTATTGATTATTGTGAAAGCCTGACTACCTGATACGAGATATAGAGTGGAAATCAGTCAGGCTATCAAAATAATCAGTGCACAAAGAAGACTATGTTCACTTCAGTTCACAGAAGCCATTTATTAACAAACAATTTTTAATTGCCTAAAACAGGTTTTAGCCTACGTTTAATGTCCAGGGTCAAATTCACTAGTACATCACAGATGCAATAATGGAACTGCCCCTAACTGACTTCGGTGACTCAGGAATCAACTTATCAGCAGAGAAGATTCTTATCAACTTTAAGTGTGCGTACGATGATGCTGTCCTCCTAGTTGAAGACATTGATATAAGGTAGTCTCTTGAATGCCTTGTTTTACAAATAGGTTAAATGGCGATGTTAAAATCAACTTTCAATCACTGGGCTAAGTGATTTTCTATGCATCAAAATGTATGTTTTTTACTATTATGCAATTACATCAATGAGTGTTAATTTGTACTCACACCAATTTTCAAATAAAATTCAGAAGTATAGCAGGTTATCATTAAGTTTTCATGTGGGATTTATAGATAATGCATTCGTGATTTTCAAAGACGTGGAACATGCGTCCAAATTATTTGAAATCATCAGTAATATACATGAGAACATCAGCTTCACAATGGTGTATGAACAAGAGGGTTAGTTTCGCTTCATAGATTTATTGATGTAAAGACAAGGTAATTGTACAGTCGAGAGAGCAATATACCCTGGGCATAGAAGAACTAGACAGTATTTAAAGTATGCTATTCTCTATCCACTAAAATGCAAAAAGCTATTGGTGAAGCTCTGAAGATAGACTGCATGAGGAGATGCCAACGAGTTCCGAAAACACCCTTACTAGAACCGTCGGTTTGCATCTAAACGAAATAGGACACAAAGAGTATATACCGACTGCATTTACCATTATCGACAGAGAAAGAAACTTGTCTTCCTAATTCTAGAATATTTGTTTATTTATTCCTATACTTCCGTTTTCTCCGATAATGCAGAGAACTAGGAAGTCATCTTGGATTTCTTCAACAGCTTCCACCTTGCAATCCAATTTACTTTAAAAAAGTTTGACTCAAATACAGCCTACCAGGAAGTTCAAATAGCAATATTTGAACGAGATAGAACTCCAAGAAGATACATCTTCAGAAAGCTTACTAGGAGTGCAAAACTAGCTAGTTTCCACAGTTTCGAAAGCTTGATTCGTCCATTGAACCACAAAATCTGCACTAGTGGCAGCCATAACATCACGGAAGAGAAGCTAAACATTCTGAAGAGAATTGTTCTCGAATATGGCTACTCTGAACATTTAATCACAATCCTTGAAGCCCAAACCACTAAAACTACCCACACTTTCTGCTGCCCATAGACATCTTAAATTCAATGAAGATTCACCGGCAGAAATACTGAGAAACTGCTTGTCCTACTTACTGAAGAAAATCTTCCTCGCAGCTGAACTTCTGCTAACGTTCTCCAAAGACCAGTGATTTATGTAAACCTGAAGGATAAGCCACCACTACTGGTTTCACCGTTGTGTACCTATCAATTCACCTGCCGGAGTGCAGCTAAGTATGTTGACCATACTTGCCCTTATGGATTTATTAAGGAGAAAAACTTTCCCTGCAGCTATATCCTAGAACACCTGGTAGAATCTGGATACTCATTTAATCCACAAATCAACTTCATAGTCATCTACAGAATACGTGAGAATCCCACCAAAGAAGCATGAATGAAACTTCTTTAAACTGCGAAGGCAATGGCAATTCACATGGTAAATCTCGAATGGTGCATACAGAAGTTTGTTCGGCCATTAAATTTGCAATGGACCTGGTTCGTCTTACCACTAGATATATAATTTTTATTTTTTTTAAATTTTAATTGTATTATTTTCTTTCCTCAACCCCTGTTAAGCCTCTAGCCATTATTACCATTTCTGTTAACTTAACTGCTGTTCAATTTTAGTTTAATCCTACTGATTCCATCAGTTATATTAGGGTACACAATTTACTCACTTAATTTCATTTTAGTTTCCACCTTACTAACGCTTCTATGTTGTGTAGTTTGTCGTCTAGAATTTACGATCCTGATGAAACATCCCAGAAAATATTCCTTGCGTTGCTAAGACAATTTACTATACATATATCTGTATACGATTGAAAAGCTTGAGAGTGGTATCATTGAAAAGGGTAAGTAGTCTCTGCTCTTCTTCTAATATATACCACCAACCTTGATAGCAACTGTTTCTCCTCTCCATCCTACTACTCATTTACAGGACATTAAGGGCCTTCGGTTATAGGTAGTTGAAAGCAATCACTGAAGCAAAGGATATCGCATTATCCTCTTTAAGGTATTGTTCCTCAGACAAATTCAGAATTTGCAGTTTAGACTTGTACATTTATATAACAAAAGGATGTATTGAATGACTATCAGGTGACTGGAGATGAAACGAATAAGTCGTGACGTAAAATTATTGATGCATACACAATTGAAATGGGCTTCTGTGACATAGAACACATGATTAATGATTAGGGGTACATCGTTGGAATCTATATGAATATTCAAGGAAGCAAGATTGATCATTTATTAAGGATATTCAGTATTTTTCGTTGATTACTTTTGAATGCCCTGAAATACTTAGTGTCTGCGAATACAGATACATCCATCTGATGACGAGTCATGTGTGGGAAGAAATGCACATACTGGATTCACTGCTAACTACTATCATTAATCAGATTTAAAAAATGAGATTAAAGTTGAAAAGTTGTTTTTTTCCAGATTTTTTCTAATAGTGACGTCTGACGTCTGAACAACGCTTCGTCTAAAAAATGAAAACTGTCTTTGGAGATAGCGCCCCATCTATCATTGCTAATATTATTCCCTTGAGTTCCGAGTGGGCTTCATTAATACATTACAATCCATTTTGGTTGGCACCACGATTCCCCGTAGGCTGTCGCATTCTCTTCAAAAGATCTTCCCCATATCACTCTTGGACGCCCAACTCAATGTTCCCCATTTAGGTTCCACTCGAGGTTCTGCATTGCGCGCTATGTTACCCAGTGGTCACATCAGTGTGTGTCACATCCATCTATATTTTCTGCAGAACACTTTTTAGCAGTAGATTCTTGGTTGATTCGTCCACAGAGTTCCCTGTCGCTATTTTTGCCGGTCTGCCATCTGATCTTCAACACAGGGAATGGTTTTCGTGACGCACTGAGTTTCTGATCCACTTCAAATCTTCAATAATGCCAACCCAAACATCGACTTTACGCTTGAGACTGAATCCGACGGAATGTTCCACTTCCTCGACGTCCATCTGACAAGAAACGCCGACAATTCTCTGAAAGGTTCCATATACAAAAAGCCTACATGGAATGGACAATTCATCAACTTTCAAAGCTTCGTGCCCCTAAGCAGAAAGAGGAACCTGATATACGCTCTTTCCTCGAGGGTTCGGAAGATATGCAGCGAGGAAGTGGTTGAAGAAGAACTGCGTAATCTTCGAAAAAACCTGATGAAAAACGGTTTCCCGCCAAGGTTCATAGACAGGAATCTCAAATCTCAAATTATTTCGGAACAAGTCCAATCCGTTCCAAAGAAAATACTTCTGCTTAATCTAGAATTCAAAGGTGATATTGAAGCAGAAATCCTTCGCAAACGCCTCTCCAAATCGCTAAGGAAAACATACTTCGCCGCGAGCCTACGATTGACGTTTTCCTGCAAGAAACTGTTCAGTCAGAACGCGAAATACAAGCTGTCGCATTGGGCCACCTCAGCGTGCTGGAGCTGAGTACGTTGGCCGTACCATGCACCGACTTGAAAAACGCGCTCGTGAACACTGCCCAGCCTGGTTAGTAAAAGGAGACCAAAAGGTGTATACAGTTCAGTGACAGAACATTTGGTCAATCAGGACATTCAGCACCTTTCGAAAAATCCTTCAAAGTAATATGCAAGATTCAATCAAAGCTATCAAAGGGAGTCAAATCAAGACATCTGGGCATAGCCGAAGCGCTAGCCATACAAAAGCTCAAACCCACGCTTTGTATACAAAAGATAAACGTCCAACCCCTGTCCCTGCCATGGCCGTTATAGACAGGTAATTTTTTATTAATGACCATCCCATCGCCTTTCTTATCTAAACTTCTTGTTTATTCATGTTATTTTAAGTTTTTCTTAATCCCTCTGTACACTATCATATTTTCATACCCGAACTTAGTGTTTATTTTGTCATTTTACTATTTCTACATATTTAATCCCTGATTGCATAAACAATTATTCATCACATTAGTATTATCCAAACATCCTGTCTATTTTGTTATTTCCACATTTCTAACCCCTAATTGCACAATGTCGATCTTCTTGGTTATTATGATGCTACTTTGTTTGTTTTATCCATCTCCCTGTTTATTATGGAATTCTAATTCCTAATTTTAATTTTTATTAATTTGACTCTTGACCGGAAATTATTCTAGGAACTTTCCCACCCATTTGTTATAAAAATACACAAATGTACAGCCTAGTTGAGGATGACTTCGTCGAAAAGAAAATTTTCTTCGCTGCAATTGTCTTCTAAACAAATCATATTTAGATTACAAACAATTTACTTACATTCTGTGATGAATGTGTCATAGGGCTGGTGAGGGATAAATGATCATGATTAGAACAACTTTGAGTCTAGAGTCTGATGTTTTTACCTGTCATCACTTAGAAAGAAAATTATTTCAACGAGTCTAAGATACAACGAACTTAATTTTTTAAACAGACCGTCAGCAATGGTAGTTGTTTTCTTCAGTGGCTGAGTAAATAAATATTTTATCGAGAAAGATTTTACGGTGAAGAAAATAAACTTAGAAACATCTACTAACTCGTGTGATATACTAAGTAAGTTATACACCAATCTTTCAATAAAAAATTTAAGAAAATGCGGGAATGCCACAGTCAGGTCCTACGAATTTTGCATTCACTAAGGAGAAAGCGGTAATACTTGACCACCGTGCATTTAATAAAATGAAAATGAAACTGGTTCTCACTAACGAAAAGTTTGAAGAAGAAGAATCTGTCTTAAGTCTTTTGGAAATTTATGACCAGCTGAGTCCCAAAAAGGATGAATCGATTGCCCAGGATTCCATGCTGGTGTTCAATAGTTCTCCGACTGAAGTCAGCCAGTCATCAGAGCTGCAAAAAGATTTATTCTCCCCGCTGTAAGATAAACTTAGAATGATCTATGTTTTTAATGTTTGTTTCTCTTTATTTCATAGAGCATTAGGCATATTCCTCAATGGGTCTTCTAGATAAGAAATAAGCTGTATATAATTTTCAGAAGTAATCGTTATTGAAATCTTTTTTAAGGTTAATTTACAAGCACAAGCTGATTTTATAATTTCCGAAAAATTTTCATTGCGATGAATAAACTGTTTTATCTAGTAAATTGAATTATTAGAGGTACTGGGTAGAAAACATCTTCAATCTGTTCTCAGACTTTAAATGGGTGAGTTGCTTAACTCGGCTGAGTGGAGTTTCCCACTGAATGTGATTGCCAAGTGGGCCATACTCACCCTACTAGTAAGTAGGGTAGTCAGTAAAGTATAATCTAGTCGTCGCTATAGTAATCATGTTCATTACAAGAGGAAGTACACGTTGAATCAGTTGATATATGTGTCTGTTTGAAACCATCTGAGGGATTAAGACTGAATGCCTCTAGGTATGAGGCCCATCCTTATTTACAACGATATATTCCATATCCGACACATGGCTGGGTCAGCCTACTTATTCCTTTCGATGTCTGGACTAGGTCGCGTGTTCGCCCAATTCCATTAGGTTTGATGTTACACAAGGGTGATTATCATAAATTATGCTCCGTATCTCATGGTGTAGGGGCTGACAAGACGCCTAATTGTGATACGAGTGTAGGGATTTAAATCGTTTGTTGATAACTTATTGTTTTGTCAGGGAGAAGTAAGTGCTCAAGCAGCTATCACACTGCAAGTCATTGCGTCCTTTCCTTACTTGATGGAAACTGTAAAATCAAACTGAAGACTTACCAGTTGTGGAGGGGCTGAAGCTGCAATTGGTGAAAAAGTAACCTGACCACTGACTAAATAAACTCCAATAGATACATCTAATTTAGCTGAAAATTTTGCTGTTCCAACGATCCTGATTGCATACCAGAGAGTTAGTTTGGCGTCATAATTATTCGATGTAGAATCAACATAAATTGAAGGGAATTCGATCACTGCAATATTGCTTTAAAGTTGTAGAAACAAATAGGAAAAAGGCATGTTTATTAACATGAATTTAAGTTTGCTCATGCTTTTCATTCATAGAGATATGACTTAACACATCAGATGCCAAGTAGTAGTTTTTAATTTTGAAGAATAAATTTAAGAATTGCATCTGATTCAAGCTTGATCATTGGTCAACACCAGTTAAAAAACCATTAGAAAATCTAGGAGTACTGAATGACTATTTAGTGGCTTGCATCCACCGGATTTAGGACTCAGGACCTTTCGATTACTAGGTAAGGTCGTAGACCATTCAGCTACTGGGACCCGATTCAATGACCCATGAATTAAAACTTCTAAAGATTTTTTTAATTCATTTCAGTCAGATAATGAAACGATAGTAATAAATAAAGGCAAATGCATGTGTAAATCGTATTGATAGAAATTGGCACTACACTGTTAGAATTTCGACTGCTGTCAATTTTAAAAAGAAATTACTTTTGCTTGTCATACTTCACTGAGCAGAAAAAAGGTATACAAAACGTGTTATGAGGAATTAAATGTTCCTAAATAAGTTCAATGGTGGAGTGCTCGTCAGTCATCAAGTGGTCAGAAGTTCTATTCCTAGTCAAGACACTTGAAACCTCAGCTAAATGCCAGTAAAGTTAGTAAAGAGGAAAGGTTGCGAGTAAAGCCAGCAACTCTACTCCGTGAGAAAAAAAATGAAATATAAATTACAAAAGATACGTTCAATACAGGCATGACAGAAAAGTCGGAGTTACTACATGCTTTCACTGAGGAAACCTGTGCGGAAGAACATCGGGACTCACTGAAGGTGATGTTCAAAGAAACATGTATGACCGTTTTACGAATAAAGACACAAATTCTCCAGCAAAAGCAGAAATCTTGAATGTAATCAGGCTACTGAATACCATCTGCGAAGGCGGGAGGAGCAAATGGAATTCCCCAAAAGCACTGAAAACGGACCTACTGACTACATCAGACAAGCTGACTCCATTGATGCAAAAGGTTTGGAAGGAAGGGAAAGTGACTACTGATTGAAAAAAGGCTACCTTGTCAAGCTACCAAGGAATGGTGACTTAGGCCTACACAAGAACTTACACAGAATAATGTCCTTGTTCACGCCAAGTGAAATAATTTGTGGCATCACCACGCAAAGAATAAAGGATTCACTGGTTGCAAGACTCTGCCAGCCTGTTACAAAATGGATTCAGAGAAGGCAAATCATGTGCTTATCAAAATGCGACTCTATGCAACGTAATCGAACAAAGAAAAGAATAGCAGGATATCATCATGAGCTGGGATCAGTTAGAGAACCATTGGAAAACCTGGAGTAATGGACAGTGTTTCGTCCTAGTTTGGGACCCTTCATCAGCACGCTCTCACATGATTCGAACCCCAGGACCTTCTGGTTACAAGGCTAGCAGGCTCGTATACCATTAAGCCACCGGGACCCGATCAAATGGTTCATGAATTCCAACTTCTGCCAATTCACGACATAGCGCGATCCTTAGCCAATGTCATTGGCGAGTATTTGTCCTCATACCCGACTTGCTGCACCCTACTGGTCACGACTTCCCACTAAAACCCAGATAACTACCTACCTGAATAGGGCATTCGCTAGTGAGCATCTCATTGATATTCAAGTGTTGGTTTGTAGGGGATTGATTGTAGAGATCTCAGTGATGGTCTCCTTGGATATGTTCTCTCTCTTCACCAAAGTTCCATTGATGGAGACCATATGTTTCCTTCGTAACTACAATCAATCCACTTGCACCGATGTTGATATACCGATCCATTACCTAAAGGAACTGTTACTACGATGCACCTTCAACGTATACTTTAGTTGCAACAGCGAAATATACAGGCAAGTGGAAGGAGTAGCAATGGGTTCTCCCCTAGGTCCGCTCCTGGCCGACTGCCTAATGGATAACCTAGAAAACAACTCCTTATCATCAACCATCGACAACCTCCATCTCTACAAGAGATTCGTCGATGGTACTTTCATTATTTACTATGAGAATTGTGATCTGAAAAAACCTACTTCAAAACCCAAACATCGATTTCACCCTGGAAGTTTAAGTCCAACTCAATGTTTCATTACCTCGACGTTCAACTTTGAAGGAATGCAGACAACTCGCTAAGAAGATCCATCCACGAAAAGCCCACATGGAACGGACAATTTATTAACTTTCAAAGCTGTGTGCCTCTAAGCAGAAAGAGAAACCTAATATACTCTCTTTCCTCGAGGATCCGAAAGATTTGCACGGAACAGTCAGTCGACGAAGAATTACAAAATCTCCGAGCAACCTTGATTGGAAATAGATTCCCACTCAGATTAATAGACAAGAATCTGAAGCCAATGAAAACACCTGAAAAGGTCCAAGTCGACCCCATAAAGGTTGCTGATATTGAACCTCGAATTTGAAAGTGATACAAAGGCAGAAATTCTCCGTAGACGACTTTCGAAGTGTCTCAGGGAAACATAGTTCGCTGCCAGCCTACGAATAACATTCTCCTGCAAGAAACAACTCACTCAACATGTGAAAGACAATCTATCATATTGGACCACTCCAACATGCATCCAAAGGAAATACGTTCAACTGTTGTCCCTACCGTGACCAACATTAAAAGTCAATCTCACTAATAATGATAATATCTTGTTACCTTTCCGTACAACCTTCCCGTTTATTTGTTATATTTTTACTTTTTAAATTCCTATCTCCGTTATTATATTTGGTTACTGTTTTTATTTTTATTTCCCTGTGTCTGAACCCCCTACCGACTTTGTTAATACTACATCCTTAACCTGTAATTATACAAACTGATGATTTTTCCAGTAATTAAATTGTCTTTTCTACCTGATCTTCCTGACTACTACACATTTCAGTTTTTAATTTGACCTTTGACCTGAAATATTTCCAGAATTGTACCACTGTTTATAACACTCAGTAATTTTATTAATCTGACCTCTGACCGAAAATATATCTGGAACTTTCTCACACATTTAATATTAATACACGAATGTACAGCCTAGGTGATGACTTCGTCGAAAAGAAAATTTGTTTCGCTGAAGCCGTCTTTTAAAAATGCACAGGAATTTAACAAAATTGATAAGATGCATAGGAACTTTAATTAACATTTCATAATGAAGAAGCATTTCAGGAATTAAGAATACTCACTTTACAATTGACATGTTTGCGTTGATAGGAACTAAAGTAACCAGTGACCTTCCGATAGAAATAAATTTTTGTTCTAGTACAGTCGAACTAGAGCCCGTAATTGAAAATGAAAACTTTATTGGACTATAGATAACTTGTTCAGACCAACTGATCTCAGCATTCACTATTGCTTGATATGTATCCATTGGTTCTGTTTGCGGTGGCTCTGATTTGTAAATATTTATCTGGGGGGAATCAACTGCCTAAATAACAAAAAAGGAATGCAAATATGAATGTTCCATCATTTTCGTCTCCTAACAAATTGTAAAATTATCAAGTGAACAGTAGAATAAGTAATGAATTAGTCATTCCGAAAGTAGCCATTGTAACTGTATTCCTAAATCATTCACTATAACCTAACAAATAAACAATTAGATCAAAAGTAACTAGGAAACTGAAGCAACGACGTTTGAGTAGGATTGAAGCCGTGTGAAGTAGATGCACTGGAGTTTGTCCACAAGTTTCCACCCTAATGACAGCTGAAAGCAGTGAACTATGTATGTTTTTGGCCTGCTTATTTTTTAGTTGCACCAATCTCTAGGCATATCCAAGTCTTTTAGAATAAGCTAACACTGTTTGTCCGTTGATCCCTACTTCATTGCTGAATTTCTCTCTTTCTCCTGAGAGAGTCAGCTTCAATGATGTCCTTCCGTTGTTGTGATTCTATGGTTATCGGTTTAGTGCGTCCCTTTTATCCTAGTGAATGAATAATTGGTTTAGTAGTTGCTGCTAGCCATTCAACTAAATTTTTGGTCGTTGCGGTGTGCTATTCATTAATGTACTGAATATTTTCACTGACTGCTTGGTGATCGTTGGTAGTCTGTTGTGTCAGAGCCAGCGATTTTCCGTGAAGCGGCACGAAATCTGAAGGGTATTTTTATGATCATTTTGACTGCATAATCACTTAGAGTACAAAAAAGGTTTCAGTGAGACTAGGTCTTTTTGCCACTTTGCCCTGTATAGTCATTGTCATCTGAATGTAGCATAAAACATTCTGGAAAGCACCCAAGTAAATGCAGTCGATTTACCATCAATCTAACATTAGCAGGCTAGAAAAGATTAGTTAAGCGGGAGTACTTCAAATTTCACTTTATCGAGAAGAATAACGGATTTATGTATGTATCTCTTATCCGTGAAGAGAATTTTAAAATTCACCTATCGTTGCACAATTTCAAAGCAGGTAATGGATATGAAACCCAATCCGGCCTCCTCAGTGTGCATTTATAAATTTAACTGTTCATGTGCACACAGTTATATAGGTAAAGTGACTCTGCAGGTCTACCGTCGCCTTATTAGACATTTTCAAACATGTTCATTTAAAGCAGCACTAAAGTTAACCAGTGTTTCCACATCGGCAAACTTTCTAGTGGGTTCGGATCACAAGATTGTGGTTCTATACAAGGCGGCACCTCATTTCCTTAAGTGTATAGTACTTCGACTGTTAAGCGAACCTCAGGAGGTGTCTGTGTTTAGAAGAAGTTTGTCCTACCTCTCTTCTTCCTATGGCTTACAACCCCAACCTAGAATAGTTATCTCTCCCAGTGACAATAGATAGATTTAATTGTTATTTTTACTTTATATTATATATATATTTTATATTTTATTATGGCTTGATTCCACACTGTTTCTGTGGCACATGTACGGAATTTTCAGCGTGTAATATCGGTAGCCCAAATTTTGCAGGCCGACCACTGATATCCGGTATGCGTCGGCATTGGATCGAACCCGGGCCATGTGCACGGTCAATGGGAGTCCTAACCACTGTGCCGCCGACGCACTACTACAATTTTCTACTTATACTGCTAACTTTATTATAAATATCATACCATTTTATAGTTGTATATTTTAACCTTAGTTTCACCATTTGTTATTCTTATTCTGCTTACATTATCCATGATTATAGTCGATTCTATTGATTCGTATTGTTTCAAATGTCTGCGGCTGATATTTGATTATGTAATTGTAAAGCCTGACCGGAAATTGCTTTGTAAAGTGTATCTAATTCATCAATTAATACAAGTCTATTATTTGTGAGTTGTCTGCAAGCTGTATCCAAATACTATGCCAGTGAAACAAATCCAGACATGCGACGGCATAATCACCTGGTTTACTGATTGGGATCAACCCTAATTTGTTTCTGGTTTCTGCTTCACTGAATTAGTCATATTATTTTTATTTTTTGAACCAATGCTGGCATAATAAACCGTCTTTTCAGTTGTTTACTTGTACGCATGGTTTATTATTCAGAAATAAAAGTCCATAAAATCAGTTTGATTACTTTCTGTTTCTAGATCAGAGTACACTTATTTCATTTTTGGGTTATTAAATGACACATGCAGGTGACTGGCGTGTATATTAGCACAAATCAAATGTTGATTCTTTGGAGTGCACGCATTTTGACTGGCTACTTTGCCTTCTGTTATTTTGAAGCTGAACTGATGGCATTCGACATATCAGGCTCAAAGCTGAGTTAAGGTGGTGTGCTTCAAGTCTGTGGATAACAAGACGTATCATAATGACACTCATGCTTTCATGTCTTTCAGCTGATACTTCAGCATGTATAAAGTGTGATGTATGCAGCCATTAGGAATATTCCTATTCAAAGCATCTGTGAAAATCTTGACCCTAGTTAGAATCGAGAATACTCTGAATGCCATTCTGCAAAGTATATCTTTCACTAATATTAACACTGATGCAATCGACAATAGAAGATGTTTCAACCTAAATAACAGGTTATTATATTACCAAGTCACCAACGTTTGGGCTTGATAAAATTGCTCTCAAAGAGTGTAACTTTCAGGCAACCTGCTACTCAATTATTCATATACATGGAAAATATTTTTCCATCTCAGTTAAGTTTTAAACAAGTAACACTAAATCTCTTGGTTGTTAGTTAAATGCAAAGGAAACACGGAGTTCAGCGAAGAGGATCTTTACGGAGAGTTCACTTTTCCCTTAAGCTCTACAATTGCATTTGTTTACTATTTCTTCTTGAAAGACGGTGGTAAACAAAGTGAAGAGTTGTCACAAACACAGCTGTTATTTTTAGTTGGCACATAAAAAGATTTGAATAAGTGCAATAAAGTTACATAATAAGATAAGTAGTTTAAAGAATGGGTTGTAATCAGTTAGCAAGTAGAAACGAAGGAGAATATGCAGTTATGCAAGATTTCTAGAGAAATACAAGAGTTATAAGGATTTATAAAAACACGCAAACAAAAAGCAAGTGTTTCCAAGTATTGGTTTGTAGGGATTTGATCGATTGGTTACAGGATTTCATCATGGGCTAACATCGGTTAGAGAACCATTGGAAAACAAACTGAGAGTACTGGACAGCTGTTTCGTCCTAAATTGGAACACTTTATCAGCACGCACCCACACTGCAGGGTTTGAACCCAGAACCTTCTAGGTACAGCCACTGAGACCCTATCCAATGGCCCATGAATTCCAGTTTCTGACGATTGAAAATACAGTGCGACCGCTAGCTAATGTCTTCGGCGAGTATTTGTCCTCACACACGACATCCTGTACCCTACTGGTCACGACCTTCCACTAGAAACCCAGGTAGCGGGAAAGAGATGAAAGAGTTTTACCTTTAGAAGGTTGTTATTTGATTCGCAGACAACTTCGAAGCAGGCATTTGTTGAGATGGAATGACCAGTGTTGACAAGGCGTTCGATTATCGCACTCCTCATACAGCTATTATTGTCTTACTGCAACTATACTGTAGGATAAGGTTTTTGAGCGCTTTTAGGCAGAATCCGAGTTGGACGATCTATAAACGTAGCGACAAGTGAACTGATATATGTACACGTGTGTTGTCAGATGCCAGATCTTGTGCTAAAGGCTTCCTCAGACCAGTCGTCGGTTGATCTGAGATTGTACAGCTAAAGAAAATGCATTCTCCGAAAAGAGTCTCTTCGCTTAAGTGCGTATTTTGTTTTCACTAATTTGTGGATGGGGATTATTCATGAGTTAAATATCATTCTAAGAATGATAATTAAAGTTATTAGGACTCACCTTTACAAAACTACGATTACAAATTAAAACAAAAGTACATATCATTCAGTAAAACTAATTTATCTTACCGTAATTGGTGGAATTGCTGCATTGATAATAGAAAATATAATAGAATCTTGTCTCTGAGATGATCCCATGATAAGATATCTTGTATCCATTTGAGTCTCGGTGACGGTTGGATAAGCTGGATCTGAACGTGCCTTCACTACGATTTTGAACACAATATAATAATCCTGACTACTATTTGTTGGATTTTCTAATACTCCAATATGGACTGTTGCAAGTGTTCGAAGAATTGTCAACTTTTGCATTTCATACTCTACGTGCAATCTCATCTATGGCGTATACATATACATGGAGGAGTAAAGGCGTCAGATCATAATAAAGATAAAAACAACGGTTACAGCGAAGAAAGATTTCACTTCAAATGACATCATCAACTACACTTCAAACTTGTGAATTCATAACAAATAGGTGAGAAAGTTTCGAAATTATTCCCGGTCAAAGGTCAAGCTATGTTGAATGACCACATGAAAAATACTTAGTAAGAATAGGGATTAAGAATCTATTGATAAAGAAAACGATCACGAAGATCGGATAAAAAGCACAGTCGGTTAATAACTATTGAGAAAACTGACTAATTATAATGACAATGGTACAGACAATACAGTGGGATAAAGACATCTATCAATCCATTCTTTGTCTTTACTCCATGGTCATCATAGGCGGCCGGCTTAAATTATTGGGCTACCGAAATTACCTTCCTCCAAAATGCTTAATTTCATCTGGATTTATCATTGTTTTAATCGTCCAGTTATATCAAATGACCTATACGTAAGTTTGCGCGATGATTTAACTTGCTCCCAAGCAAAACACTGTACACTTCTTCAATGAAATGAAGATATACTTCAGATTATTACTTTACATGTGAATCCTGTGTGAAGAAAAAAGTACTTTGGAACTGAAAAGTTTTCTACCGTATATTCACATACTGTCTTAAATAAAGCTTTACCATTATTATTATTACTATAATAAACAATCCATTTTCTGAACAATAATCATTATCCAGTTGTAGTTCCGATTCAATCTTACTATTTATTTCTAATAATAATAATAATTTGTTTTATTCCAAAAACAGTACTAGTGATACAGCAAGGAATTTTCAGCATTCAGTACAATATTGCATCTGATTTACTCAAAAACGACAAAAAAATTAAAAATACACTTTACATAACAGTAATAAAACGATTGTTATAGCAGCTAAATAGCAAAATACTGTATGCCATACGGAGAAAAATATGCATAAAGTACAAAATTGTAGCACTAATAGTAATCCCAACTAGAATAAAATAGCAGAGTAACAATCAAACGATAGAAAGTGTGACACCATAAAATACAGAAAGATGAACGATGAAAGGGTCGATTCACTGTGCTAATTACATAGTAACTTGTAAGTTTCACGTCTAACAGAGTCTTCGTCACATCAAGTACGGGCTAAATAGGATATTGTAGAATTTCTATACTTAGTAGTACGAGCATATAACTTCCTATATTGACTTCTCGTCCTACCTGATGAGATACAAGGGGACAGGTGTGAATAAAGGGGGTGCAGAGGGTCTGACAGTATAGCCTATGCCCATTTTGTACAGGAATTTATATGCCTCTCGACTATAGTGTTAGTAATGGCATTTTTGATCCCTAATTGTAACAAATATTCCTTCTGTCTTGTAATTCGTTATAAATTGACTTTTAATCGGGAATAGTTCTGGAACTTTCTCATCCATTTATTATGTATTCATGAATGTACAGCCTAGATGATGACTTCAGTGGAATGTCCTCAGTTCAAACTGTCATGAGTGCGTACTGTAGAAGAGTAGTAAACCAGGGGGAAACAGCTGTCTTGTTTCTCTAGTTTTCAATGGTTCTCTAACTGATATTGATCCGTGAACAAACTTGAAACAAATCAAATCTCTACAGACTAACTCTTGAGTATTCTATTTATTTCATACATTTATTCCCCTTAATGAATTTGAACAAAGCAAGAACTACAGTTTTAGCAGAATAAAATGGTACCATCATTGCTTATTTTGTTGCCTTCTCGTCAGATGCTTACATGGCAAAGACATTATTAAATATATCTACAACAACAATTTTAACATACTTGCACAGAGTTAAGTTTAAACAAAAATCAATCGATCAATATACTCATACACTAAAAATATGTACATATATAAATATGCAATATTAACCACTATTCCGAACAATAATAATCAAACACAATGGAAACTTTTAGCATTTCACATTCGGAGGAAAGAGAGGTGAAATGCTAAAAGTTTCCATTGTGTTTGATTATTATTGTTGTTCGGAATAGTGGTTAATATTGCATATTTATATATGTATATATTTTTAGTGTATGAGTATATTGATCGATTGATTTTTGTTTAAACTTAACTCTGTGCAAGTATGTTAAAATTGTTGTTGTAGATATATTTAATAATGTCTTTGCCATGTAAGCAGCTGACGAGAAGGCAACGAAATAAAAGATGGTACCATTTTATTCTGCTAAAACTGTAATTCTTGATTTGTTCAAATTCTATTTATTGTTGAGCGATAGACTGAATAAGGTAGCATGGTATCATTTAATTTCTGTGATTCGTGTCAATTTCATTCATTCTGAAGGTATAAGCTGCTTCTATTCGACGACATATGACAGAAATGTTAGAGATTAAACGGTTAAAACCCAAACTGTGCGTTCTGAAAGGGATGGCTATTAATCTTTCTGTAGTGTAGTGAGAGCTTTATAGTTTTATTGCAGCTAGGTCAATTTGTATAATTTTTAGAATATCATTTCATATGCTTTATTTAATGTTTTGTGCCACTTGTTTTCCTACACATCGAACTGTTTCCCAACTGTTATATTTTCATCACGAAGCAATATCAATTACAGAGATCGTTGAAAAACGGCAAGGAACACTGGAGAGCTGTTTTGTCCTATTTGAGAATCTTGGGAATCGAAACTGAGGCCTTCATTTTACGTGAAATAGCCAACTGAACATTCAGCCACTTGGGCTAGTATTGGATGACGCCTGAATTATAACTCTGGTTCGTGACAAAAATCCAACAGTTGAGATTATTACTCAACCCTCAAAATTCATTTACTAGAATATCAATCGCCAGCTCACTAATATATACTGTATGGATCTCTTGAGGTTGTAGTGAGAAGTCAGGATCAGTGAAGTTTACTGTGTCAAGTTGGAGTGTATAGTAAATGAAGGCATTGGCGGGGGCAGAGCCATATCACAAGCTGACACAGAATTCAAAGGTCATTTGATTCCAGCCGAAGTAGCTGAACGGTGGATGAGTTTTGTGTCGTAACCTGAATTTTTGAATTCTTCCTTTGTTCGGGTCGTTGGTGTTTACTTGCGATTGGTCCCATAATAGGACAAAACAGATATCCAGTGCTCCCGGCCGGATTTCACTGGTTTATCTTGAAAATCTAACAATTCCAATTAAACTATAACCCCCACAAATTATATCCGACTTCCGCTCTTAATTTTCATTCTTTTAACTTTCTATATTAATCAAATGGCCAAGTGGCACGTGCTTTTCTGTTATTCTAACTACCAGATTATCCAGTTAGGCAACACTAGCGGTTATCAAATTTTACCTATTCAAATAAAGTGTGTTAAAACTCTATTTCTGATATTGAAATTGATTTAGGTTATTTGCATATGGCAGGATCTGGTCAAAATGGATGAAAGCGAAATTTTGTATTTCTCGTTGGTTGATTCTGTACGATCAAAATACTTAGCCTCTAATTGGCGGATGGTGACTAGCATTGAAATCCACTGGATACTAACTAAATACTAACAAAATGCCCAGACATCGTCGAAGCATCTGCACAAGAAGGCGACATATCAACCTGAGACCAGGCACTTCGGTCCAATCAATCGATGGGAAAATCTCAAATTCAATAAAAATACTTAGCCTTTGTTGATATTTTGGGTCTCGTTTTAGGTGAGTCGACTGCTGCGGTCCTAGTGATCTACTTAATGATGTTTTGGCTTTTGAAAAGATGGGCACTGGAATACGATCTCAGTGGTAGCACCATCACCATTCACTGGGGATCGCAGAAGCATTCAACTGGTGGATCCAAAATAGGACGAAATTAGCATTCTAGATTCCATTGCTAGTCACAATCCGTTGAAATGATTCTGGTGCACTATCAGCGTTAGTAAGATGAAAAAAGCCTGAAAAGTACTAACATACATAGAATAAATAAACGTATTAATTGCGCCCTTTTTAGTTTAAGAACCTTACTGCCATCAGTCAGCTCCAGTGAAGTTACCTCTTGCTCACCACTTTCGAGTTATTGTCAGAGGTTAAAATAAATGGTGCTACCTTGACTGAAAGATGAAGTACCTAGACTAGCCACTTCATATTGTATCTACCGATTCAGCTGCGGTGGTGGAGGGAGTTATATCGGCCGTTGTTCTAGAAACTAGATTCTTCATGATCGAGAACTTTTCCCACTATGGCTAAGTAAAGGTGTAGTGAAAACCATTACCAGTTCGAAATTGAACCATCTGGTACAAACCGGCCAAATAAATTGCTAAAACCACCTAAACACTGCATGCTCCAAACAGCAGAGGCTATTGCGATTCGCCTCAAACAGCGAGTGCTCTGTGTCAAAAAGAAGCAAGTCCAGCCCCTACTATTACCCCGGCCTTCAGCAGAAACTATAAATTCATGAATTTGTAATATTATCTTTCCTAATTTTTCTGGCATTCAGCTGATTTTATGTTGATGCGACTCAGCTGTAATCCATCGATATTATTGATTTAATGTTATTTAAACAACAATAATGTTGTTCATAACACAAATTCATTCATTCACTATAATTTATATATATCTGTAGAGCCTGATAATGAAGTTATCGAAACGAGTGTACTTTGTTCAGTATCCATTCTTTTAAAAAGGGTCTTTTATAACAGAAGCTAAATTTACTTTGATAAGACGATAAAAGTGATACGTGGAACGACATATGAGCATAGTTGTTAATCCGTGACACGTTTTCAGTGATAATAATTTATTTACCTAAAAACAATTCTTATAATACAGTGTGAAATTCTAAGCATTCCTTAAAATATAGCAAAAGTATTCATTCAGACATCTATAAAACACAGAATAATTGAGTAAATGATATCCTTTTCGATAAATTCCTCTTCTGGATATAGAATTCGACATATGTTTATATACGCAGAATATTCTAGATTAGTAGTCAATAACAATATTAGTGTTTTTTAAATGATATCAATTTGTAAAGTAAGATCAATGCAATAACAGTTCATTGAAAGTGCTTAAATAATAATAAAGATATAGTAGCAAATAGAATATCAACTAAAACTAAGAAAATTCCAGAAAAATTCAGGATCATTCAAACCTAGATGGCCAAGGTACGGATAATGTCTGAACTAACTTCTTTTGGACTCTCAAATTAGGCTTCTTAATATGGATTTCAAAAACCTTATCAATATTCAGTAGTCGAACTCATAAGGCAAAACTGAGATTCGTACGTATGCGATAAATTATGAGATGCAAGTGGAGAGACGGATATTACTGATTTGAACCATCGTTCATATGCGTCCACTTATCTGTCGACTACAATAGTGGCGAACGAGTTGGTTAAGTGGCACACGACTTGCCTTACTGATAACTTGGAATAAAAATTAGCTAATAATTCGTACCTGAAATTAGAAATTAATTAGCCTGTTTGATACCCAGGTGGTGTTTTCATGACTTCGTTTTGTTAGCAATCTTAGGTGAAGTTTTATACATCTGTTCCAGTTTCAGAGTGTGTTACTTGCCATATTCATGAGTTAGGCTATTATAATGTCTACATCCTTTCAGAATTCCCCTACCTCATGCAACTGTCATTGTTTCACGTTAGCTGATCTAGCAGACTTGAACCCAGATTGCACTGGTTTATAGAATTATTGACCTATAACTTTGAATAAAGCATCATGTGTCTATAAAGACTGCAGCCAACTATGTGAATTAATACGAAATGCATACTGTTTGAAACATCGAAATCTCGCGTAACAATGCGAATGATTTTGCCCATGAAAACAGAAATTAATGAATACCCTTACATTTAGGCAGTCAACCATAGTGTCAGACTTATTGAATTATTAGAAAATATGCATGAATCAAATGATCACCTTCTTTCCAAATATTTTATAAATAAATATTAAAATTCTCTCGGAAACTTACTCCTGGTATTCGTGTTGTGATTCCTGATCCGACTTCAATAACGCTTGCGTAGCATATTTCACCCAAAATGGCTCGTGTTAAACTAACTTCAAACGCATATAATTGCTTAGATGTAGGTGGAATGTTTATAGCCACCTGAATTTCAGCAAACTTTTCAACTTCAACCACATTCGGTTGCATAGATAAATCCATCGATGGCTGCAATACCTACGGGAGTACAAGTAGCATATACGGAATAATGAAAAAACTGTGAAATTCATGTGCTTGTGGTTTTTAAAACCCTAAGACTTCGACTACATATTTACAGTGATATAAGTGACAATAAAATAAATAGAAGTGATAGAATAGTGAAACACAATTAAAATTATTTTCAAGTAATGGTTTATGGGGATTTGACTGATTGGTTACAGGATTTCATCATGACTCGACATCGGTGGGTGAGTACCGATGAAGAGTTCCAAACTCGGGCGAAACAGTTGTCAAGTGGTCCCAGTGTGTTGAGAGCTGGCTGCTAGCCAAAGTCGGTAGACAGTAATTTACGCCTTCAAGGTTATCTATCGCATTCCATCTAGTCTCTCGGACGGAATAAGAACCCGTCTTTTACACTTAGCCGAAGCTATGGGAATTTGAGAGAACAATCCTAGTCTCTGAATACAAAAAAAGTTTGTTCTACCTTGATCTCTCCCTTGGCCTAGGTGAATTCTATTCAAAACCCCCCCACCCTTTCTTATCTCCCATCTCCTTAGTATTTTTATGATATTTATTGAAACTCTGATGATCGTTCCATTTCACCTTTTCATATATGACCTAATTTATTTATTTATTGAATTGTCTACGTATACACATATATGCATATACTATCTTGTTATTCTTATCACCTGCATAAACCTTATTATCCACAATTGGTGGATGGCGGCTAGCAGTGGAATCCAGGATGCGCATTTCGTCCTATTTGGGACTCGTCAGCTGGATGTACCTGCATTTCTCAGTGAGTGATGATGTTCCCACCGAGGCTCGAACCCAGTACCCATAGTTTCAAACGCCAAAGCGTTATCCACTAGACCACTTGGGCCACGAGAGCCACCTTCTGTGCGACGGGTCATATTAATTATTGAATTGAATTTTTGATTTTCCCGTCGATTGATTGGACTGAGGTGCTCGGTCTCAGGTTGACATGTCGGCTTCTTGTGCAGATGCTTCGACGATGTCTGGTCATTCAATTAGTATACATTTGGTGGATAGTGGCTAGAAGTGGAATCTAGGATGCGCATCTCGTCCTATTTGCAGGTACATCCAGCTGACGAGTCCCAAATAGGACGAAATGCGCATCCTGGATTCCACTGCTAGCCACCATCCACCAATTGTATACTAACTAAATACCCAGACATCGTCGAAGCATCTGCACAAGAAGCCGACATGTCAACCTGAGACCGAGCACTTCGGTCCAATCAATCGATGGGAAAATCAAAAATTCAATTCAATAATTAATATGACCCGTCGCACAAGAGGTGGCTCTCGTGGCCCAAGTGGTCTAGTGGATAACGCTTTGGCGTTTGAAACTATGGGTACTGGGTTCGAGCCTCGGTGGGAACATCATCACTCACTGAGAAATTCAGGTACATCCAGCTGACGAGTCCCAAATAGGACGAAATGCGCATCCTGGATTCCACTGCTAGCCACCATCCACCAATTGTATACTAATTCAATGCCCGGACATCGTCGAAGCATCTGCACAAGAAGTCGACATGTCAACCTGAGACCAAGCAACTCGGTCCAATCAATCGATGGGAAAATCAAAAATTCAATTCAATTCTTATTATCAACATTTTGTTATCATTATCATTGTTAATAATTTCGTTCAAAACATTTACCACATTATTATTATTTGATCCACAAAATTTTTTATATATAAGTCTATGTAAATTAGAGTAAAGCCTGAAGAATATCTAATTGAAAACAATATTGTTCGCTTATATGTCTTGTTCTGTTGTTACACCAGGTTTTCCAATGTAACCGACATCAGTCCACAATGAAATCTTGTAGCAAACTAAGTTATTCGACAAAACACAGATCAATATTCAACTTACTACTTATGTGAATGTGGACGTGTTAAAAAAAGCATAGTAACTGATCAGTAAATGAATTCTCATTATGTTCACATAATAAGTCGAACTACACAATAATGGGAATCCATAGAGGCACATATCTCATGAATTAACTCTTATATTATTATTCCCTTAGGTCCCAAGTGTCACATAGAGATTCAACAGCATATCCCTAGTTTTCCCTTGGCTCTGCTGTTGTCTTCAGATGGCTCCACGATTGACCGTAAGCTCTTATCTCTTCCCCACACGATCTCCTCCCTGTCGTTCTTGCACACTCATCAAACTAGTAATTACATATTCGAGTTCCACTCTACAATCTGCCTGGTGTGTGGTGTAATTAAACGTTCTCACCATGTGTCTGATCAATCTCCATTGTCTTCGGAATATTTATTTAGCCACAGATTCCCGACTAGTTCATCCCTAGTGTTTCCTGGCTATTTGATTTACAGTGTGGAGCCAGCAAAGCTAAGTGTTGAGGAAAGATTGCAGTGACGTGCTGGAAATGCTTCAAGCGACGTACCAAGAACTGACTGTACATTGGCGTTAAAAATTTGAATTTTGTTATTTACGCTGAGTGCATTAGATCTTCAAACCGACTTCAGAATGACGATGATCTTTGTTATTTTTTCGGTCCTGGATAGATTTCACATCCTCACCCATTCTGTCTACTGTAGTTGAGACGATGGTGCTTAGATAAGTGGAGGAAGTGATTACCGCAGGCTTCTCCTGTCTACAGTGGTTGACTTTTGTTGTTGGCTGGTTGTCTGTGTCACCTCCGTCTTCTTTACGTTATAAAGTGAGCTGGTGTAATTTTTGGAACACCTACAAAATTCCACATTTCTCTTCTTTTCTATGTGCATCCTAATTACAACTCACTCTTTAAACTATTTATCTTATTACTCAATTGTGTTACGCTTAATAAACTTCTTTTAATGTCCTCCCTACTGAACCAAGCTGGTGAATGTTCTCGAACCCGTAGACGAACCTGCTAATCGTGCCCCCTATAAAATCTGAACCACAGGAACAGTTGAAATGGTATATGCATGAAGAAGAGCTAAGGTCAGGTAAGACGTCTTTGAGTTGCAGGGTGATCACTGGACGGCTACTGAAAAATAGACACAGACGTGCAGAGTAGAAAGTTTTCTTGATCACCCTGGTTAAACGTTGCGATAGAATCTCCGCAGGAGTATTGCCCTTCAATTTTTTTCCCTTCACGCTCTCAGCGGAACATAAGGCTTCAAGCTAGTGGTTTGAAGTCTCTGTAGAGGTGTTTGTTTTTACAGGATGGGGTTGCTAGCCCCATACCCAACTTTTCCTCTTTACCAGCATTATATCTGGCTTAGTGAGGTAGAGAAGTGCGTCGGCCGAAGATCGAACCCGGGCCATGTGCATGGTTGGCGAGCGTCCTAACCGCTATACCACCGACGCGTCCTTCAATTGGAGACGTAAAAACAGAGGCTTTTTCTCCACCGTTGCTAGTTAATGTTTACGACTATTGGAACCTATATTGGCTTTAATGAACTTCTCTGGAAATACGTTCTCGCCTAGAATGTCTTGGATGATCTGGAGTTCTTTCTCTACACAGTCTTCGGAACAAATTGACCTCGCTCAAAATGCTAAGCAATTGATTAGATTACGTTTTTATTTCATCGGTACGAAGCTAAGGAAGTTGTTCAAAATCAAATCACTACTTAACCCTTCATCGTTCACTACAAAAGTGTCATCCATGTAACGACAATTCATTTCCATTTTTGCTATTTCCTCTTTCAATGGACTATTTTCTAGTTTTGCCAGAAATATATTCGCGAAAATAGGTCCCAGTGGGGATCCCATGGCTACTCCATCAACCTGTCTGTATTTTTCATTATTAAACAGGAACTGAACATTCATTGTACATTTAACGAGTAGCTGTTTCAGATTACTGATAGGAATATCAGTGCACAATTTCTATTCTGTAATCTGTATGCAGATATAATCGATGGTTTTCACTAGAGGCACATTAGTGAATAGAGATGAAGCATCAATGGATGCCATCTATTAACCAGTTTCGTTCAAGATTTGATCTTATCAATAAATTGAAGACATTTACCAGCTTGGTTCAGCAGGGGGGAAATTAAGTGCATAAAAAGCTCGATCTTGTCACACTTTGTCGATACTGGACATCGTATCGATGTCAACACAGCTTTCAGGGTTGTATACCGAATTCTTTTAATGCGTTGATTAACATTATTAAGTATGTTTTTTGACAACACATCATCACTACCCTTTTACCTACCAATCTTCACTCCTCTTAGTTACAATTTCATTATTCATCACACTTTTGAATTGCTGTGACAACGATAACCCTAGCTTATTTAAGTGTTGGTTTGTAGCGATTTGGTTGGTTACAGGATTTCACCATGAGTGAATGTTGGTTAGAGAACCATTTGAAGACCTGAGAATACTGGAGAGCCGTTTCGTCCTAGTTTGGGACTTTTCATCAGTACACGCCCACCACGGTTCGAATCCAGGATCTTCCGGTTACAAGGCGAGCTCGTATACCATTAAGCCACTAGGACCCGATCCAACGGCCCATGAATTCTAACTTCTGCCGATTCATGACATAGCGTGACCCGGAGCAACGAAACAGCTCTCCACTATTCCGAGTTTTCCAATGGTTCTCTCACCAGTGTCAGCTCATGATGAAATCCTGTAACCCTAACCTGGTTTTATTCTTATCGGAAAAACTTAATGCACACATACATATTAAAATAAGCATATATGTAATTGCGACTGTACAGCTTAGTGAATGAATTCATCGAAAAGAGGCTCTTCTCTGAACTACTTGTTTTGGTTTTATTAACATCTTATTTTGTTTTTAAATCCCCATAAATTATTTATATACGACTGGTATTTCCAATATAGCTATACTGAACCCGCAATCAACAAAATCTTTTAGTGCATATATGAACTAGTGAGTTATACCTGTGTGGTTAATTAGACTTACGTCATGTGCCATGTCGCCACAGTGTCAAATTAAGTTGAAATAAATGTGTCCAGCTGAAGTTCATCACTAATTCTATCTGTTAAAATGAGTCAACATTACAGTATATAGCATCAACCCAATTTTCGAATCGAGTGAAGAATTATATCCTCCAGTCAACACTGAAACTAAAGGCTGGCAATATGAAACTTGTTTTTGAGCTACCTAACTGATAGTATATATGCTTCGGCAACACATTGAAATCAGGTTGCATTCAGTGAAGCCAGAAGGAGAACTCTCACTGAAGTCGGAAACCAGGGTTTCCTGAACAGCTGTGTGGTCTTAGTGAGAGACTTTTCACTAGTTAAACTTGAGGAGAAATACTCACCGATGATATTGGCTATCGGCGAAGATATATGTCTCAAATTGAAGGAAGTTAGATTCATCGGTCAGCTGCTAATGGATTCTATTCCAACTGGCTCGCTTCGTTCTCTGAAAGACCTGAATTCAGTCCCTAGCAGTAGAGCTATGGATGAGTGTCTCTGAAGAGTCCTTATCTCCAAATAAGCACTGACCCAGTACTCTCTTGTTTTCAAGAGTTGTCAGGCAGATGTCCCTTCGTCATCTAACTAAAAGTCACTCAAATCCATGGTAGCCAACGCTTGAGAATTTAGAAAACAACCAATCACCTCTTATCTCACTGGCTGTCATTAAGGCGAACTTACAGTTTTGAAATTTCTGTAGTCAGCAATAATAGGCACTTGAATCTCTTGGAAAAGAACACTTGTCACAGAATGACGCATTCTAAATCCAAGAATAGCTCTTGTTGAAGCAAAAGATGTGGTTTGAATGTAGGCGACAAGTCTGACGGAACGATCTGATTTTGGTAAAGATAATGCCATTGCATCTGAAATATATCAATAGACAACAGTTGATGATCAACAATTTTGAAATGTTAAGTACAGCATATCTTTGAGTCTTATTTAGTTACTTCTTACACCAAAACACAATTTTTAAAGTTTGTAATAGTAACAGTAATAATGCGGAAATAAGATACCACATCTTCTCAAAACGATCATGGAGATAATGACTGTCCAGTGATACATTGTGTCATCCCTAATTATCTGAGAAAATAAATTCACCAGTCTCTTCTTATGTTTAAAACATCCGCACTTTAATCCTCATTTTGCTTTCAGTCAGCATCAGTTTTCACTCCTTCACTTCCTGAATGGCACATAGGTCTTCATTCGGGACATTAGAAGTGTCGATAGAGCCTGTGGTACTTTTAAAGAGTGCGGTTTTCGAACTCATACTCTAGCTGTCTTGTTTTCTGCGATTACTGTTGGCTGGGGAAGGATTAGGACTGAGTTAGCTGGGAATGGAGCTCGCACCACGCGTGTATCTGATAGTCATTAGGCTCTCGAACTTCACAGGCAACACTAATCTGTAATTATCGACCTTAAAAATAATTTTTTACTCCAATGCAGATTTGTTCACAGAATGACAACAGTTAGAAAATTATGGAAAACCAAAGACCGCTGAATAGAGCTTTTCCGTTACAGTTTGGAACGATTCAGCCCTACTGACTGACTGACGTGTTGCAACACAGAACTTTGCGTAGAAGTGCAGCAGTTCGAGTTGCCGCGCACAAAGGGGAATAAAAGATGGAGAGAAGATATTCAAGAGAAATGTAATGAGGGGAAACATAGAGTGGAAGAATAATAACATTGAAAAACAATGGGCTTTAGTGTGTTTTATGTGGGAGATAGCAGAAAATGAATGCATCTGAGCCTTTAAGAACTATTCTGAGCAATGACACCTATTGTCTCAAGCCATTGGCTCTTAGAATCCTGAAGACCCCAGTCACTAAATTCAGCTCCTCACATTGACTTATGCCAGGTTTTTGTTTGACCATGCCCTACTCTTTTCAAGCCTAGTCGTATGTCAGCTAGGATTACTAGTCGTGTAAGGGGATGTCTTTGGATGCGTAAGGCATGTCTTAGCCATTTTAATCGGTACAGTTTCACAAGTTCATGGATTAACTTACCCCCTTATGTGATAGTGATTAATAATAATATTGATTACGACATGCATGTCTAACATGCACAGAATAATAACAACACAAAAAACAAGTAATATAAATCATCAGTAATACTCCCGTACAAAGAAGGAGCCTTGAAACCTCACGGGGAATTCCTAACAAAGCAGGAATAAAAGTGGCTGACATTCGAATCACCCACAAACTCACTTGTGAACAAGCTCTCTCGGTTAGAGGAGACCATGTGAAAGCAATTAAACAAATCAATTCAGTCCACCTAATACTCTGTTGTAACGATCGTCAGGTCAAGTACATAGATCAAAGTATTAGAACGGATCAATCAGACTAGCGAAGAATGAAAAGCTTGTAAAATCTAGATTAGCTGATTCTGTAAGATAAGAAATCTGGATAATATTTCAGCTAAAGCACTACATGCAGCTAAACATTACCATACTTTTGGATGGGATAATAGGATATCAAATTAGCTGAATGTAGTTGTTATATGGATGCTTCAACACCTGTCCACCCTGATATTTAGAAAATTCTACTATCCCCACGAAAAATAGGAGAAAATAAACAAAACTACGGAACAAAAGTTTGAAGTTGTGTGGTTATAACTGGTATGTGCTTCTGAATCTGGCTTTGAAATCATAATTCGTACTATAGATTGCAGTCGAAACTATGGTGCCTAGACAAGTGAAGGGAATGACAACTTCCAAATTTGTTCCAATGATATTGATTAGCGCTTGTTGTTTTCACTGTTGGTGATTAGTTGCTTTAATCACTTGAAGTCCTATCTTCGCTGCTAGCCATTTCTGAAAACTAGTTTTTCACCGGTAAGTTTTCAGATTTATGCGACATCGGATATATATAAATCAATGGCTAAGTCCAGATCCTCTAAGGTCTTCTTACCGGTGCAACATATCCCTGTCTTTTTGCTCCCTAAAGTCTGCCGCATAGTCTACACAAAACTAAATTATACTAACCGGACTGGTTTCGCCTATACGCTTGTACTCATAGTTATTGCAATCTATTTGGCAGATTGGTTTACTTTCTCCGACTGGCTATGTGGGATCATTTAGCCAGTGGAGTTTGTCACTGAGTGAGTTTTGATATTTTTATGTCACCCTAATTCTTAGTATGTTAGAAATCTTGTGGAAGAGTTTCGCATGAGATGTGATTGCTAGCCTCAGACCCAACCTTCTCTCCATAGCAGGTTCACTACCTGCTAGGCGAGGTTCAAAAGTGCGTCAGTTGATTATTGAATCCCTAGCCACGTGAGGCGTGGTTGCCGAAAATTTCGTCATTAAACCACGTTCCTGTGGGTTATCCTGAACTGTGTGCCGTCAGGTTGTGAATAGTGACATATTAAGTTTATCATGGACATTAAAACACATTATGAAAGAAGAGACTTCAAACTGTACTACTCAATGTGTGACCACAGCATCACAGTGATTATATTGCAATATCAATAGTCAAGTCTAAATATCAGTGGCTAATCGGTTAGGACGCTCGCCGACCATGCACTGAGTCCGGGGTACGATCCCCGGCCAACACACCTCCTTAACTGGATAGGCCAGTAATAAAACTGGTAAAGAGCGAAGGTTGGGCATGAGGCTGGCAACCTCACCCTGTAAAAATAAACACTACTACAGAAACTTCAAGCCTCCAGCTTGAAGCCCTATGTTCCAATAGGAACGTGAAGGAATTAGAAAAGAAAACCGTGAAATAAAAGTTTGCTATACAGTTCCTTTGGCTGTAAATATAACACTGTTCTCTGATTGTTTCACTCACATAAACTTTTCAGTCCAATGACATCGATATCGATCTGCTTCGCCAGAACACATTTCTTCAATACCCCATCTTTATACTGCCTTGTTCCAGGTCCCTGGGTGTAGCTCATCCCGTTTTTCAGCGTAATGTTAAAGTTGCTGATGGTAGCTGATTGACCAATTGTGTATACAGAAAACTAATATCAAAAGCAAAAACATTAACATGTTCTCTCTGGTCAGTTAGTCTTTATTCAAATAGGTTCTAATTCAAGTGAAGTGTGAAAAAAATATCAACAGGTTAATGCGTTCTTATGAACTCACTTCCTACTGATTATTTTGAATGAAGAGAGAAGGAACGCCTTGCTGATGAGTGCCGACTAGCACGAAACCTAGATCCATGGCTTCCTGCCGATTGCCTCCAACTATCTAATATATCATCAAAGGAACATATTTGCTTTTCGGTGCTGAGATGACTCAGTGTATGTTTTGACGATAAGATACAGTTGGGTTGGAACTATTCTGGTCGATCTAATGAGTTCAGGAAACTGTTGTGGAAAACAGTCTGCCTCTAAAAACTCCTCGGAGACAATAATTGAGGCTGATTGTGCTAATATCCTACAACGTAATGTCACTGCTTGTTACGGGTAATTGAATAAATTCACTGGCAGATGTCGTTTCAAGAATACACTGAAGTCAAATAAATTAACAGTTTGTGACGTACACGCTTAGAGGTGATGATTTCATTACAAACTCCTTCGGAAACTTAATTTTTCAGACCTACTTCATACCATATGTGGTAGTCAAGAAAACAGCCATAAATGTGTGAATAATCCCTTGGGCTTGATGCCACATGGAGGTGATCTTAACAACGGACGGCCGTTTCACTCTTTTGGCTATGATTTCATCGCCAACGCACCTAGTTTAACTCAGCTCAAAGGGCCGAATCGGCGCAAACCACATAATTTCTGGTCAGTTACTTATGCGAACTGGAAACGCAACTGATCGAATTCGCAATTTGCAAATTAATTTGCATTGTACACAGTTCGGGGCGGTGAAACTTCATAACACTTTCCTATTTCGGTAAACGAAATTATTCATATCACAATATATGATCAGCAAGAGATCATGTGCTTTGAAGTGATTGAACTATCTAAGGCGAACCGAATCAGTACACCTTTGATGTGCTTGACCACTAAAGAGCAAACTGGCCGTCCAATTCACTTGTTCAAAGAGAGAATGACTGGAACTTTACAGATTGATGAAACTACGTTTAATATACTTCCTACTTTCGAAAAGTTAACCAGACCGAAAGATATTACGAGTTTTTCAATAATATAAATGATCACCGTATATCGGATCAACGACATAAGGTCGCACATACCCATGTTATCTTAAACTTTTGTTTGTTAATATTTCTCGATACAAAATTAAGGTTAAATAAGCTAACTTTTACCAGAAAAGAATACCCTTTTCATCAATATTTTATCGTATTATTTAAGTTCATGTCAAAAATGTCAACATGCAACATTCTTATGCCAATAAACTTACTAATAACCATTTAAAAGTCACCGGTTGTTGTTCATCATAATCCGCAATACCCTCATCAGATATCATACGGGACTATTTTCTAATTTAAATTATTTGGATAACTCATTAAATTGATTCATTAAACATTCAGTATACCATGAACTACTTTTAATGATAAAACAAATTCTTGTTATATCATTTAGTGCCTTAGAAATATTTCTAAATTGATTTAAAACCATACGGCAGAGTATGATTTCACCTGACGACGAAATTGATAAATTTGTTATGCAACAACTGTCTTTCTTCTGAACTGAAGATCAAATGGCTGGGCAGAGAAAATTGCCTGCCAGAAAACTCTGGGAAAGAAGTAATCAAGAACCTCTTGGTTATTCCATAATAGTTTGTTTATTAGATGTATCACACAGACAGTGAAACAGTATAATTTACTGGATGACACAGTTTCGAACAAAATGTATTGTTCATAATCATATCAATCAATTGTAATCACACGACTTTCGAAAAACTTGAGTTTCATAGCTTTCCTTGTCTTCTCTTATTTGTCGTGTTGAGGTAGTAGAATTTTCCAGATATCTGAGACAGGTGTTGAATCATTTCCACTACACGTGTTTATAGTTGATTCGATAAACAAAGCTTACATTGTCATCAATCTCTCCTCCAACCCGCTGTTACATTCGATTTTGAAACTGTCATCCCATCCCATCCAGCCTATTGTATGGTTGTGTGTAACTGCATGTAGTGAGTGCTATAGCTGAACTAACTGTTCTCTAATTTCTTATCTTTTTTGGGTCAACCAATCTAGATTTTGCTAGGTTGTTATGTTTGGCTAGTTTGACTGCCCTGTTCTACTCGTTTGACCTATATATGTGGCATTCCAACCCACAAACTGAAATAGAAACAAGCTTTGTCGATTAAAGGATCCTGCTAGTGAGGCCTTTAAAATAAAATAATTTAGTTTATCTAATACCCCGCCTGCAATGATTGTCAGGTCAAATGCATAGGTCAGAGTAGCAGAACAGGGGTAGTCAGTCAGACTAGCGGAGCATAAAAACCTAGAAAATCTAGATTGGTTGACCCAAAAAAGATAAGAAATTTAGAGAACAGTTAGTTCAGCTATAGCACTCACTACATGCAGTTACACACAACCATACAATAGGCTGGATGGGATGGGATGACAGTTTCAAAATCGAATGTAACAGCGGGTTGGAGGGAGAGATTGATGACAATGTAAGCTTTGTTTATCGAATCAACTATAAACACGTGTAGTGGAAATGATTCAACACCTGTCTCAGATATCTGGAAAATTCTACTACCTCAACACGACAAATAAGAGAAGACAAGGAAAGCTATGAAACTCAAGTTTTTCGAAAGTCGTGTGATTACAATTGATTGATATGATTATGAACAATACATTTTGTTCGAAACTGTGTCATCCAGTAAATTATACTGTTTCACTGTCTGTGTGATACATCTGATAAACAAACTAATATGGAATTACTTACTACCACAGGGCCAAAGTTTTACACATATATATTAACCTATTGGTTAACAAATGTACAGAATGGGATGGGGATAGATCAGGCACACACTGAGGAGAATATCGAATGATATCATATGCGGTACAGGCCTTCCAATAGAATTGGAAGACCAGCGACTGGGTAAGGGTGCAAGGATGACGAGGAGGTAGTCGTGTGAGGAGAAGATGAAAGCCTATGGGAATCAGCTAAAGAGGATTTCGGAGGATACGACAAAACGACGGTGAGCTATTGAATCCCTATTTTTCACTCTGGATCCAAGGCAATAACAATAATAGTAATAATATATAGAACCTCCACTTGTCGTTCATGTAGCTAATACAAAAAGCTGCGATCACTGAGTTCCACAAGGCAGAATATTAGGGCGAATTCATTCGAGTAACACTAGACAATTACCAGAATTTAAAATTCAAGCGTTGGTAATTGGATTCTATCTCAGCTAAGCAGTTCATTCATCATTTCGGGATTCGATCGCTGGAGTTAGGATTGTTAGGGAATAACGCTGAAAAGCTTCACACCAGACAGAAACAGCTGTACAATACTCCACGGTTTTCAGTGGTTTTGCTAACTGATTTCAATTCTCGATAAAATGTCTGTAAAGCAACTTTTGAAAATGGAACAATGAACAATACAATTCGTATTTACCATATAATTTCCCATCTCAGATACCAGAAGTACTTCAGCTTCAAACAGGACTATATCTCCTGGTACAATATAAGCAATATTTGATAAAATTGTTATATCCGGTGAAGAAACAGGACATGCACTACCAACTGTATTAGTGGTAACATTAGTCTGTGTTAAATTATCCCTGTAAACATCACATTGAGTGTTAACCAATTTCCCTTGTATTGTTGAACTATTAGGCCATAAACCAACAATGAATTGTAATGTCAGTGTATAATCCTCTGTATAATTAGGTATATCATCTACCATGAGGTCTGATAGGCTGACAGTTGTAGTGACAGTCTGGAAAAGAAATGCAAAATATTAATACGTTAGTGGAGTATAACCACACTGAGACGTAAAGGTCATCAGATTATTTAACCGTCATCAGTAAACGTTTTAGTTTGGATAAGTAGGTTGAATATTTTCTCACAAATGAAGCAGTATTAAACTATCTTACACAGTGTATTCGAACTACATGTCTAATAAATTAGTTATCTTTATTACTTTAACGAAGGGAAAACTCACATAACTCTACTTTTGAACTATACAGTCGAATTTTTAGTTCATTGTCGATTTCCCCTTTGATGGATTAGACAAATGTTCGTTCTTTATTGACTTGTCAACTCCCAGTAAGGACGTTCTGACTCTGTCAGTAGATTAACTAGGATTAGGATGCGTATAGCGTCCAATTTAGGACTCTTCAGCTGAATAAAATTACTTCAAGTTAATCGGCAGACGTCATCAAAGCGTCCGTCCTAGGGGCAGACCTGTCAACAGACGACAATCAATCAACTGGAAATGATGCCTGTTGCATAAGTGATGGCTCTCGTGGAACAAGTGGTATAATGGACAATACTTAGGCGTTTGCGAATACCATAATTCACTAGGGAATGCTGATAAGTGCAAAATGAGACGAAATGTACACTCCGAACTACACTGCTAGTCGTCAAGTACATGTAGCTGAATTACTTGCTAGGTTTTATATAATTCAAAAACCTTATATGAAACAATTACTTTTTTAATTCTCAGATTTTAAACAAATTCCAACATTGGGTTTTTTCTGCTCGAAAGCAAACTTGATTCCCTTTTTTGTTCTCTAAATATTACTGAAAATTTAAGTGCTTGCATAGTTAGTAAACCTAATGAAATATTTGTGACCTGGAAACTATTGTACCACTGATTCATACTATTTTGTGGTTGCTACTGACAAGGGATTATAAGTAGCATAGTTTCTTGTCTGCAAAAGTCATGAATAGAGGAATTAAAGAGATCCCTGGAGGATATGGTTTGTCAGAATAGAAATACTGAAATGAAGAAGAAGAACGCGAAGAGAAATTCATCAGGAGGCAGAAAATGGCTGTGGACTGAAGTGAGCAGAAAATTATATTTGTTAATGAATCATTGTCAAGGGGCTGCTACAATCGTATTTATGTTCAACTGAGAAAAAAAATGTTTTAAGCAAGTTGACGAATAATCTAAAAGCGGGTACACAGGTAGAAATTAGGAAGGTATAGTTTGGCAATTACCTAATCAACATGAGTGTACAAAATAGATATACAGGTGGAAAAGACAGCATAGTGTTAAACAAAATGTGGATGTGGAAATCTGCCACCCACCAGAACAAGCTGGATTCAGGAAAGGCAAATCATGTGCTCATCAAGCTGCAACTCTACTCATCATCAGCGAACAAGGCAGTGAATGGTAGTCATAACTTGACCTTAACTTTATCGATCGAGTACTCATTTAGAAATGAAATTAACACTGCGGTGTGCGATTCACATTCAACAGTTGGCTATATGGGAATGCCCCGTATCTGATGATTCACAATGAAAAACTCAGCGAGGTGTTCGGGGTGAATACAGGAGTAAGACAAGACTCGCTATCTGTTACCAGTGATGATATTTTTAATTGTGATGGAGTGGACTATGCTGAATACGGTGGGGAGTGAGGAGACAAAATTATGCTGAACCACCGATAATAAGACTTTTAAAGATCTGAATTTCGCGTGTGGATGACTTACGTTTAATGTCATACAGACTCGAAGACTTACAGGCGAAAACCAAAAAAGTGTCAGAAGAAGCTGGCAGTGAAGACAAGACTCCAGACGGACACAGAGAACACAGAGATCATGAAGATAACCAACGAACAATAACAACAGAATGCAGCAATCATCACCAGCAGGAGGGATTTGACTGAGGTTACTTAATTCATTTATCTAAGAAGCACGGTTTCAATTATAGGCAGTCGTAACGGATGAAGATGTAAAATCCAGCCGGAATGGCAAACGCAGGATGCATCTCCAGTTCGGAAATCACCGGAACTTCTCAGCGTTAAAAGAAAATGATTCGGATTTTCAACACAAATGTGAATTCAGTCAGTTAAGGCTTCTGTATGGCTAAGAAACTTGGCAGGTCACAAAAAGGATTTCGAACAAGTTATTGACTTTTATCAAAAAATGCCTTCACTGGCTCTAAAATGAAGATCGAATGGTTAACCAGCCAGGAGGAATTAGCAAAAAGAAACTCTGGCTGCCGACGAACCAACCAATAGCCGATCGCTCAACAAATATGTATGCGAAACCGGGAATGGATCAGGCATACATTGATTAGGCCGTTGAATGACGCTGCGCGTAGTGCAGGCGATTGCTCGGGTAGAATCCTAATGGGAAGCAAAGAGTGGGCTGTAGGTGAGAGCAAGATGACATGAAGGAGATCGTGTGTCGGGGAGGAGGAGATGAGAGATTATGGTCGATTCTGGGTCCACATGAAGAGGACGGAAGAAAACAATACCAGTAATAATGCAAAAGATTTACTTTTCGATCATAGATACTATTTCCTGTAACATTCATCACATTGATGGTGAAATTTCTGTTAAGAATTCGTGCGCCAATATTAGAGATGCCAGTGAATTCTGTAAAACCGTAGAACGCAGAATTGTAGGTCGGAGCAGACATTTTCACACTTATTGAAGTGGTTCCAGAAGGTAAACCAAGCTGAACAGTCAGTATAATGAATTCACCGATACACCATGCAGTAGTTTTTGAATAACTGGTTGTTATGCGTAGGTCATTTCCCACAGGATTAGCACTCTAATTGAAAAACAAATAATATAAATGGTGGAATAAGGCGGAATTAAAGTTCGACTCGACAATGAGAAAGAATAAAGTCTAAAAATGACAGTGTGTTAATAACGACAATAAACATTGTTTAAGTTTCCATCTAACAACTGAGATTGACCATACATAATTCGAAGTGGGCTGTTGTTTAGGATACAAGTAATATAACTGGAAATTCTTTCTGCCCTTCAGAGAGTAGACTTGGTTCTTACATTTGTAATTTATTTATTTTGTTTATTTATCTATGTACCTTTCCGTGATTACTAATATTTTTATTATTATTACTAATCTCACTCTGAATTGTTTCCGCTTGTCCCACTTGTCATCCTAAATCCAAAATTATTTTTTTACAATAGTGAATTCTACTTTATCAAATTTCATGCCATGTTATGTAACAATTTATATTCGCCTGCTAATCCTATAATTATGCACCCTATTCCAATATATATGCGTCTTATGTGTTATTCTGTGTATGCCATTAATTGTCTAGCTACCTGACACAACTGTGTTTATAATTTTTTTACGAGTTGATCACGGATTGATATCAGTTAGAGAACCATTGAAAACCAGGGAATACTGGACAGCTGTTGCATCCTAGTTTCGAAATCATCGGCAGTACGCACCCAATGGGGTGCGAACCCAGGACCTTCCGGTTACAAGGCAAGCTCGTATACCATTCAGCCACTGGGACCCGATTCAATGGCTCATGAATTGTAACTTCTACTGATTCGTGATTTAGCGCGATCCTAACCGAGATAGCCTTGTAACCGGAAGGTCCTGGGTTCGAGCCTCAGTGGGTGCGTACTACCGATGATTCCCAAACTAGGATGAAACAGCTGTCCAGTATTCCCTGGTTTTCAATGGTTCTCTAACTGATATCAATCAGTGATCAACTCGTAAAAACAAAACTAACCCTTACAAACCAAACTATAGAACATATGACTATAATCATAAATATTTAATTGTATTTCATACTATTATTATTATTTCATGTATTTCCACCTTTGACCTAATTCCCTCACCGGATATAGTTTCTTAAAACCATATATAAATATGTATATACATGTATCAGAAATGACCAATTTTTCCAAGAAGGTAAAGTTGTCTCTAGGCATTTTCAGAGTTGACAGGGCATAAAGATTTCTTGAATAACAGCATTTAGGATTAAAAAATAAATTCACAACGTTCAAAAAATAGACCTCATATCAATAGGAAACTTTCATTTTTAACTCACTCTTTTGTATACCGTTGAAGGAGAGGAATTCCAGAACACGATAACTTGTGATGTATCCATTTCCTTATCAGGAGTAATAAATACTTTTACGTTAATTGACAAATTCGAAGATGAATGATTTATCCAGTAATTTTTCAAACCATTGGAACGAATAAAACCTGTGCTATTTTCCACATAAAAAGGCGAAAATATGCTGTCTGTCTTTTCTTCAAGTACGAAATAAATTTGACCACCACATTCATTCACTTCATCAATAGTCTTTCCATTGAGTGTAAGATGTCCGAGAATTTCATTTGGAGTTTCGGTCACATTTCGTAGAACATGGAATTCGAAAACCTTCTTACTGAAACGAATGTTTTCTATAACTAGAATTATAGCAAGCATAACGTTACCAATGTTATTGTGTAAATATACTTAAAGGTAGTTTTGAATAACAAAGTTACATTTCACCTATTAAGTAAAAATGTATATTATAAGAAAATTAGGAATAAAGTCAGTAAAAATTATCTCCAGTTACATTCGAAATACGAGAGCAGTGTATTACTGTTGGCATTCTTTCGTTGCTTTCTGAACAGAATATCGAGCTTCAGAACCACACCCATAATCTACCTGGTTCTCTGCTGTCATAGTTAACCGGTTTTCATGACCATGTGAAACGTCACTTCTCCTCCTCACACGATCGCCTCCAAAGTACCTCTATTCCTTCCACTGTATTTATTATATAATGATTTGTTGGTTGGTTGATTCCGAAAGTTCCCTGTTGCCTGTTCATTTTAGTTGACATCCGATCTTCAATATCAGTCTAATAAAGACGCAGATAGAAGTGTACTGCCCGTTGGAAATGTTCTTCGAGACGCATGACAATTCTCCAAACCGCCTACAAGCACTGGTTTGACATTAGTTTTAAAAAATTGGGATCTCGTTCCATGTTCTGATTTCACTGTAGTGAATGCAAGTCTTGCTTTGTCGATCCTGGTTTTTACATTGCCATCCATGTCAACTTTAGTTCAAAAGATGCAGCTCAGCTAGGTGAGAGAGGTAACTCGGATCGCGAAATATATAATCTGCAGTTTAAACGCAACTGACCTCAATGAGATAATTGAATAAGGTTTTCATTCATAAACGTTGTCAAGTATCCAGACTGCAGAGATACAGGACCGATCGCTGGTTTCAGAAGACTAAGCCTAATACACAGAATACTATGCACTGTAACCAACGAAGAACCTCAGAAAATTGCTGCGTATTGCGACTGTCTTTTCTTCAGCCAACAAAGAAACAGGTTGGCAATGATTAATCAGCGCCAAAGTCTGTAAATGAACGTTAGCGGTGGTCAAACCAAAACATGGCACCAGCCAGTGAAATCCATAACAGTTGGTTTAAGCCACGTAGGAATTTGTAGACTTCCTGGTTGGGGTCCTCGGGGCAGTAAAGACCATTGACTGGAGACAATGCGTGATATGGCTCAAAATCGTTCGCAATGGCTCAGATGCGTCCACTCCTTGTGACTTATAATTTCCAATGAAACTATTTTGTTCTTCATTATTGCTATTCCTTTTGTCTCATATCCCTCTCTGCTGTCCCTACTTTGCATTTCTTCTACTTTCCTCTATTGCTTTGTGCGCTACATGGAGTGGAGTGTGGCAGCTTGAACTGGTGCACATCGTTGCAAAGTTCTATGTGGAAAACAGACAGACAGACAAATAAATGGTAATATAATATACGACAATGTGCGTCGGTGGCACAGGGGTTAGGACTCTCGCCGACCATGCCCATGGTCCGAGGTTCGATCCCCTGCTGATGCACACCTGATATCTATGGTAGGCCTGCAAAATTTGGGCTGCCGATATCCATGCTGAAAATTCCATACTTGTACCAAAAATACAGTGTGTAATCAAGATGTAATCAAAAATCAAAAATCAAATAAATAATACTTCTTATTGTATTTCTCCAATCGTCAGCCAACCAGTATACGACTAATCAATGATAGCCTTCTTGTTTCTGCCAATATAGAGACCAGTTAGAACAAACAAACTATTCAGTATTCACTGGCACTGATTTAATTTTTGAGGTAATCTTCGCACTTTGGTTGTACTTTTATTTATAGTCAACCTTATTATATGTATACTTCTACATGTCCATTGTTCTGCACCAATTTTGGGAAAATGACATTTTACCCAGTACATGTTTAATGAATAAGGAAACCAGAATATATAACAAGGATCCCACCCATCAAAATGCGGTTCTGTTCCATGTTTTAGGCATCAACAGTCTGATGTCTGATGATATTAGATGGTTGGTGGCAATCTGCAGGAATTCAGTCTGCACCACAGAAAGGACTAGACACATCACACTAGTTACTTACTTGTGCTCAATCAAAGTCTGATGTCTGGAATTTGTGCTCATTGGTCTGAGGTTTGCTGATTGAAATAAATTTTAATAATTATGGTTATAAGTTTTGAGTTTGTAAGTTGGCTTCAACACCTATGTGTATTTCATCAGAACTATGCCCATCTGACAGTGATGTGTTCTTAAGAGAGTTTGAGTTTGAAAATTACTACTCATCGTTACAAAAGTGTTTTATCTTTTATCTTCCGGGCACATTTGAAAAATATTTTTTTAGTGTTATGAAAAATAGAGGACATTTCTGTACTGAATAAAAAGTCACTACTAGAGTTTTCAGAAATAAAAATGAATTTTGAGTACTTAAACTCATATATAAGTAGTATAAATGAATATTTAAAAGAAGACTGATAGCAGTAAATGTTTAAATAGTTTCTGTATATGAGGATTCCAGTTCAGCTCCCTGAAAATTGATGTAGTATGGAAATGGATAATGTTCAAGTTTACACGCAAAGTATTAACTGTAAGTTGCCTTTACCTAAGGCTGTCTAGAAAGTCTTCAGAATTAAGAGGTTTGGAAGTAGGATAGATCTATTTGCGACATTGATGCTTAATTGGATTTTCAACCAAACTTGCAGTTACAATTCCCTCTTCCCTAGGCTGTAAATCAGTATCCTGACATTCACATAACAGCTGCTGACTTGGTCCTTATTATTTGCCTTTATTCTTGTTTATTCCCTTATTGAAGTGATTCTCTTTGCAGTTGTGGGGGATGTTGTTCATAATGAATTGTTTAGCGACTGTGATTTAGTCTGAATGAATTCAAGGTTGGCCGTGGAAATTTCGACCTAGAGAAATCCATAGGAAGTTTTTGGTGGGTTATTCTCACTGATACAGTTTTGACTGCATGTTGCAGGGAACACGTTTGTTGATTGTCAGGAAGCACATCTTACGGCTGATTTTAGTTAAATAATTTCCCTGTGCAGTACTTCTGTTGGAAATCTCTGATCTGTATAGTTGCCTATCGGCATTGTCTAGGTAGTCTTCATTTTTTGACACATTATGTCTGTTGAATGTAACCAAATATTTCATCGCAAATAAGCGTATGTTTCCTTTTGTCACGGCACTTTAGAACTGTGAGTAACTCAAGCAAGGTTTGGTTAGCTGTATAGTAAAATGTGAAGATTGATTTCCAGTGTTCTGACCACAACACATTGGTTTTGGTCTTTACAACAATGTTAAACATGCACTTAAAAATAACTTTAAAAATTTCCTCAGCTGATTAACGCACTTACCTGATATATCACAGTATTCGCCTTTCCAGCACTTCTCACAAACGCATTTCATCTGATTGCATAAACCACGCTGACACCTTCAAAAATTAAAAATAAATATAGCTTTGAGAAACCTATGGTGATAATTGCATTGACCGAATGAATGGGAAAGTATATGGTAAAGATAATAACGTTGTGGATATAACACTCTGTAAGCATTATTAAGTGCGCAAAATCAAATATTGGTGAGTAACTTATGACATACCCTATTGGTTGCTCTAGAAACGTGTTTTACGCCACTCCAATGTCTTTGTTCTCGTACAGTCCTTGTTTGGGTCCTTTGATAGAGGGTAATAACTTATCCTCGCAACGTTACTGTGTGAGGTATACAAAACACCGTATTGCACGACTAACATGGAGTTTATGCAGGAAAACAGGTAGGATTAAGAATATTTTCAGGAGACTTAAACGCAGGAATAAAAGCAGTAGACATTTTATTTTAAAGCTTGCACAGCACATTTATCAAAAAAAAAACTATGAGCTGGTTATGCTTTGTTATCACGGCGTATAGCTTTGTTTATTATCATAATATGATTGAACTGCCTGCTTTCGTTTCTTCCATCCATGTTTATCATTTAAAGTACCCTTGTGTAACTAGTTGCATTCGGAGTACCATAATGTAAGTCCATCATAATACGTTACAAATTTCAAGTTAAATGCAATGAAACTGTCGAGCATTTTTCGACGTGATATAACTCAGCAGGACCAGTGAATCTAGCTGTAACTAAGTTTCATATTATAAATGTCTGGGAGATTTTTGATTGATTTCAGTCGTTAGGTTTTCTTCACGAACCTATATCAGCTAGATAGATCAGTGAAAACCGGTCAGGATAATTGGACATCTATTTCGTCGTATTTTGGAAATATTCAGTAATGCACATCCGCAACTTAGCTTAGGTCGAACCAAGGATCTTGAGTGTATGAGACCGAGTCTGTTGACCCATAGTCTGTACATCAATTAGCAGATTACTAATGGCTACCGGATGAAAAAAAAGAAGCTGCAAAGTAAAGTCGTGACCAGTGGGATCCACCATAGTAAGGTGAGGCGGATGGTCACCATAGGCCCTGGTTGAGGGCAGAAGTATATCACGAGATGTTACATTTGGAATTCAGGATTCAGTGAATCCCATCTCAAATGGCTGGATCCTCAGTGGCTTTAGTCTCGTAACCTGAGGGTCCTAGGTTCGATCCCAGTCAGTGTCATGGGCGCGCACTGATGAGGAGCCCGAAAATACGATGAAACAGCTGTCCAATGCTACTCAGTTTTTGATGATCTCTCTAAATGATGTGAGTTCATGACGAAAATTTACCAGATGAAATGAATCCGGAATCCGCACAAATCCTATAATCTGAATTTTTTACGTAACTGGAACTGGATGTATTTTAATTTAAATTTTCTCACGGTAAACATCCATCAACATTGCACCATAATTTGGCATTTGACGAAGATCTCGTGATTTATAGCAATTTTCTTTCTTTGCGTTCCAGGTGCAACGCAGGGTTCTAAACTACGAAATGTCAGTCAAGGTGGGGTTGTTATTACAGGGTGAGGTTGCTAGCCACACGCTTAATCTTCCCTCTTTATTAGAAGCTAGGAGAGATCTAAGAGTAAGTCAGCCGAGAATCGAAGTCAAACCAAGTAAGACGTGGCTGGTAAGCATTCTAACATTGACATACTGACGCACATGGGGGTTATAGTATGGACGATTAATCTAGCCGTTTTAATTCCGTATTGTTTACACATTATTAAGCTTTGATTACGGGCTTATTCAGTCAGAGAGCCATTGAAAATCACATAGTGCTTGACAACTGCTCCGTCCTAATTTGGGACTCGCCATCAATACGCACCTACCGGAGTTACAGCGCAGGACCCTCGGGTTAAAAGGCAAGCTCATGAGATCTATCAGGTCCGATGTAAAAACCAAAATTCACAAATGACGTCGGCTGGTGGTCACACTAAAATCACGAATTGGTAGACATTAGAACTCATAGGCCGGTCACAAAATTAGGCACTAGCAGCTGAATAGTCCAAGATCTCGTCTTGTAACCTGGAGGTCCTGCATTGCGTCCTTGTTTGGCGTGTACTGCTGAAAAGCCCCAAACAAGGACGAAGCAGATATCCATTACTCTTTGGTCTTCAATGGTAACCTAACTGATATCAATCCATGATCAATCTTGTAACCAATGAAATCCCGTAAATAACATAATTAACCTCCTTTGATATGGAACAGAGGATTCCAGAGAATATGGAAGTATCCGCACAACAGTGTATATCAGCATAACAAAATTGTTAGTAAGCAGACGTTAATTCTAGGGTGACATTTACTCAGATAGATTGAACAATAAGAGATCCTTTTCCGACATTTACAGCAGATTCGAACTAAAATTCTATAGAAGGTTTGTCAGATATCAAGATACACTTATATACAATTAAACCGAAAATCTGAGTACGTTACGTTGATGATACATTTGTAATAATTAAGAGAAATGATTTAGAATATACCCATAAATTAATAAACAACATATTTGAAGACATCAAATTCACAAGAGAAGAAGAATTAGATAATAAAATCCCATTTTTAGATGTCTTAATCAGGAGCACCAACACAGGAAATTTAGAAACACAAGTATATAGAAAACCAACGCACACAGATCAAATACTCAACTATACTGGGAAGAATCCAATTGCTCACTCACAAAGGAAACTGTGTGCAGATATTGTTTAAGGGAATTCAAACACACTACAGTGTAGCACTCCAGAGTTGAAAAGAATGGAAGAGAAATACCTACAAAGGGTCCTCAAAAAGTATGGTTATCCACAAAATTTCATCAAAAAGTGTTAAAAGTCGAATTCCAACACCGACAAGGAACCACCATCGAAGACCACAAGAAAATTCACCCTAACATACATGAAAAATATCTCTGATTTAACAGCTAGAATACTGGAACCATTTGGTATAGATATAGCGCACAAGCTAGTCGAATCGCTTAATTCGATATTATGCAAACTGAAAGATCCAATAGGAAAAGGAGATAAAATTAATACCATTTACAAAATAAATTGTATGAACCGTAACAGGCATTACATCGGCCAGAGTGGGCATCCCCTTCGAATCAGAATCCAGGAACATAAACCAACCGTGAAAAGACACGACTTATATTCTTTCATATCAATGCATATAGGTAATTATGGACATCAGTTTGATTGAATAATGTCGAAATCTTAGACAGAGGAAACACCAAAAGTGCCACGGAATTCCTAGAAGCCTGGTACTCAAACGAATATGCACTCAACAAACACGTTAATGTAAACCAATTATACCAACTAATAAAAAGTAAATCAGGTGACCAGAAAGTTTAAAATCCAAGTAGATAGAAAATGATCAGTACATATGTAAAGATGGTTACCGGAAGAAGCAAATTATATCACTTGTCCAGAAGGACGACGAAAGCTCCACAACTTAACCAACCAGCTCAGAGAACACTATTAATTGCAAATCAGCCACCTGAGCTACATAATCTCCTCTATTATATCAAGATACACTGACAACAGTAGGTGGAGATATAAATTTTGTATCATATGTTATAATTTAGCGATTGAATAATATTTTATTGCTTTAAACAACTTCGGCAGTTGATTCTAGATTGTCAAGTTATCACTCTCATTTTATGGCTAGTAGATATTTATCACATGTTTGGTCAACAAATAGTTGAATTACATAAATATGCTCATAAATAATAAGTAATATACTGAATATTTGTATGATCCGTGCACTATGGCAGTATGTAATTCCAAAGTAATTTTTCTATTAAATTAGATTTTCCGAACACATCAACCACAAGATAGATGCAATTCAATTAACTGATGGATTAGCAAGTCAGGCAGGGGGCTTCAAATCTTAGATTCTAGCATAAAAAGGAAAGGAGGATAGAAAGATAAACACAAATGTTTACAAAAGTCACACCCACTGAAACCAATATCTGGACATTGATTCATCCCAAGTCATAGCAGTAAAAGTAGGATTTGTGAAATATTTAAGTAATAGCACAGAAAGACCGACCTGTACCAAAGAAAATCTAAGACAGGTAGTAAGTCATGTAACAGAAGCTTTAAAATTTATCAATTGCCCCGATAAATTAATCAAGAAGTGTATAGAAAAGTATGAAAATAAACAGTGCAGGAATAAAAGTGTCATTCAAAGCTGCTGACTAACTTAGAAACAAATTCTCTTAGTTAAAGGATCATGTGGAGCCAAGTAAGCGAAGCAATTTAGTTTATTTTATATGGTGCAATGATTGTCAGGTTCAGAGGAGTAGGGCGGTGTCGATCGGACAGGCAGAGCACAAAAAGTTAGCAAAGCGTGGATTAGTTCACCGTGATAAGATGAGAAATTAGAGGGTAGCTCGCCTTTGGCACTACATGCAATTACACACAACCTTATAATCGGATAGGAAAAAGTGGCAGTCTTAACATATAATGTGATAAGGTGGGGGAGGAGGAGATTGATAAAAGAAGCTTTATTTATCGAATCAACTAAAAATATGTGCAACAGAAATGAAATAACATCTGTCCCTGACATCATGAAAATTGTACCACCTCTACGAGGAATGTGAAGGAATAATGAAAATTATAAAACACAAGTTTTGTTTTCAAGTATTGGTTGCGAAGGGATTTTTGTGATTAGTTGGAGGATTTCAGCCTACGTCCATGATGAAATTGTTTTGCTGACCTTTAACAAATTTTTATAACCTACACATAAAGAGCATCTCAAACAAACTTCAGACCTTCATTAACAGCTGTCTTCGCTCAATACTCAAGATCAGATGGCCAGAAAAGATCAGCAACAGGGATCTCTAGGAGCGAACCAATCAGGAACCGATTGTGAAACAAATAGGCAGGAAGAAATGGAGATGGATTGGCTGGCCATACTCTGAAAAAACCATGAAGTGACATCACCAGACAAGCCCTCGAGTGGAACCCGAAAGGGAGGCGGCGAGTTGGTCGTCAGTGCAAGGGTGACTTGGAGGAGGTCATGCG